GAAAGATACTCTAGGTACTGCTTAATCTATTATGTTAATATGTAGTAAAACAACTATATTGTGGTGGAACTACAGGCTTATAGAGGTGCGCAGGTTTGGTGGGGTGCGGCGCTCGCTTGCCTGCGGCGCTCGCTTGCCACATACGTTAGTTATAGGACATAAAATGTTCGTGCGTAACGTTAGATCATGTTGAACTAATACTGTATCTAGAAAAGCACCCTTGCAGGTGCGTCATTTTTTCTGCTAAAGATTGTGTTTTTTCAACTCGGATCGAGGTGGCTATCGCTAACCGACAAGGCATTGGCGGGTTTAGCAAGAGCATTTTTTCTTATGTGATCTTTCTATATTCTATGTGTATCTAATACGTATAAGTAGCTGCAGCTCCACCCATCAATTGTCCACCGTCCTCGCTCTACTACCACATTCTCTAAATCTTTACTAATACAACCACGTTCGCTGCTATACCCATGTTCGTGTTGTTTGGGGCTGTTGCCTTGGCTGGCGACCCGCCATCCGGCAACTGGTGGTCCACTGACTGCTACTCTTCGGGTATTTACTTCAACGATACTTCTACGAACCCCCCTACCAGAGTGTACACCCATCCAGGCGATGCTGGCTTCTATTACGACTGGATGCTCACGAGACATGTCTGCGAAGACGATTTTTCCCCTTCGGTGAGCCACACAACTCAACCATATTTCATTCTTTACTAATTCATGCAGGCCCGCTACCTCGAAGGCATAGGAAGAGTAAGTAATGTCTGTTTTTAAAGTCATTCATTTCTCACATTAGCAGTGTGTCGCAAACGAAGAGGGCTACTCTATCAACGGTGCCCTTTCCTGGAGCTCTTGCGCAGCTCACGCGCGCCAAGGATTTTTCGGATACAATGATAATGGTGACCAAGATTACAGCCAAAAGTATGTCGGAAATGCAGAGGGAAGAGGCTATCTCCCAGGCCAGTAAGACTATGGATGAAGATGTCTTTCGTCTGAAGCTGAACCCAATCGCGTCTTTGAAGTCGAGTGCTCTTGTAATTTCGCAGGTAGCTTAATTAAACCTGTATTTTTGTATATTTCCTTTACTTGAATAGGCTTTACACCTAAGCCTCAGCGGCCTTTTTCAACTTTGCGAATCCTGTGGAACCGATCGGTGGTAGGAGCTTCTCACACTTTTATTAGTCAGCGTTACCCACTTGAATTCAAGCAAGATAACCAAGAAAATTTCATGTCTGGTGTATTAATTGGTATTTATAGGTGGGCAATGAAGAAAGGTTAGTTGATAATTAGTAGTGGCTTAACGACTAGTGCTTCCCCGCTGTCGCTTATTGTGTTCATTTTGTTCGTTTTTAACCCCCACGTCTATCCTACCTCCACGCGTGGCGTCAAGGCTAACGCTGCTTTTCATCCCTGTTGGAGATCAGAGTAAAGTAAGTGTAGCAAAGACACAGTGTGCAGCTATAATTTGAATCCTTTTGGTTCAATCCGATTTCATGGAAATGGACATGTTCATCAAACAGTCATACGCGACCTGGCTTACGTAGATAATTTTATTGAGGTAGTCATCAGTGAATCTCTCTGAGGCACAGCTTTGCAGACAATTCTCAGAATTCCGGCTCATGCATGCCTCACAGATCGCAGCAGCGAGGCTATTAAAATAGCAGAGTCTCCCATAGAATTCTTCTTCGTATCAAAAAAGACTATGATTCCATCTTACACACGTAAATTACATAGTAGCCACCAAGGTTCCCTGCTGTTGCAGCATTCGAATGTCCATTGCCAAATCTTGAAACATGACGTCAATCTGGGCGAGCAAGCCACTACTAGCCGCCCTGCCATCGTTTGCAGCACAAGGGTCATGAATCTTACATCTCAATGCTTCGACAGCATTCTCGATTTCCTGGGCGAGTGCTACGCGGAGCATGCAGAGGATGCTCGCGCGCTTCTGGCCCGTGACGTCAAAGGTGCCGACGCGCACGCAGGTGGTAGCAGGAACAGTCAGATCGGAGTCTGAACAGGGGAGAGAGCGCAGTTGACCGAGGACGCACTGGACGCTGAGAAAGGCGAGGAGAAAGGTGTTTTCGATTTGCTCTTCCCCAGAGGTCGAGTAGCAGCAGTGGCAGAGTTCAAATGCCGACCATTGTTCAAGCGCACGCGTGGCGTTGGATAGGACCGTGTCGACAGGATAGAGGGGCCGCTCGGAGAGCTGGTGTTGCTGTGTCTGAGAGCCTGACGACGTGGACACAGAAGTGCTCCGGCCGAGACTCGTGAGGAGTGTGCGGAGGCCTTGAGCACATTGGCAGGGCGAATTGATCGAGTCAAGCCGCTGTCTGGCCTTTTTGTTGTGGTGATTGTGGAGACAGTCTGGGCTGGCGCATGGGTGCGGCATTGTGGGGGATGATGAGCAGGATTGTGGCCATTCAAGAGCGGCTTGTCTGTGCAGTCGTTGTTGCTCGTGACAAGGCTGCTCATGCGGAAGTGTGCCGAATAGTGTGTTGGACATGGTGGCGTAGGACGACTTTGCCGAACTGGGGCAAGAGTTGATGTGCTGGGAATTCAAGTCGGCAGCCGTCAGGGCATCCATGTCCATGTCGGTGTTTGCACGCGATGAGAGAGTGAGCAAATCTTCGTCTAGCAAGCAGTCCCAGGCCATGTCCTCTGACGTCGAGTGCTCAAGCGAGTCTAGCGAGAAGGACATGGGGTCGGTGGCGGGAGGTGTGGGAACATGATGCCTCTCCGAAGCCGGGAGCCGCCGCTGCTGCTTCGAGTTTGTTCTCGACTGCGTAGATGCTTTCTGCCGGTTTCTTGATCCGCGAGGTCGACCTAGTCGATTTACCGGTCTGTATAAACACGACTCGGTCGAGTTGGAGAGGGTGCAGTTCTCGCAGGGCATTTCGCCAGAGCATTTCCGCTTGAGCTGGTGACATGGGTCACATGCATTGCGTAGACGAACCGGCTCATCGTATGGTGATGTGCGTAAGTTTGTCGTCTTTGAGCGCTCTAATGCTCGCTCTCGGTGCAGGTCAGTCAAGGAGACCGGGGTGTTGGTAGCAGAGCTGGTATGGCGACTGCTTGTATGAGACGCCATCCGTCCCATAGAGGTTAGCGGCACGGAATGCGAGGTAAAGACAAAGTGAAGTATGATGCCGGAGCAGCTTCCAGCAGATACGGGTGGCTGGTCGGCTTTGACTTGGACGGTGTAAGTAGGGACGGCCAACGGCGATTAATGCCGGTAATCTGACTGCGTATGCACCGATGCATAGCGGACTCAAAAGAGGTGGATATGCTTGTACACGCGTGTTGCTTATGTCTCGCATGAGTGGAGAGTGTCCGCACGTATCGTGAGTTCTCCATGGGCAGTGTCGACGTGAGTGGCTGCAGGCGGGCCGGCCCTATCAGGCGCCCTAAGGAATAGGTAAGCAGGCAGTGGTGTCATCGATCTGGCAACTGATGAGCGGGTGGCCTAGAATGTATACGGCGGGTAGGGCGCTTTGTAGGTGGGTTTGGGGTGCAGAGGGGTAGTTGGAAAGCGGCCTAGGCAAAGTCTAGGTGCTCGGGGAATAGGGCTACGACGGGCATATCCGAAGGAACGGGGGGAAAGACGGCAGCATGCTTGCAAGCGCCTTTATGGGTGACACCCAAGCCCACAGCGTGCCTCGCACCACTCCACCAAAAGACGGCACACGTCTGCAGGGAGACGCAGCTATGCCCATTGTAGCATACCGGTTTTTGTTTGGGCAAGTGGTGTTTCGCTGCCACCAGCGCAGAAGCCCGCGGAGAAGGCCAGCATGCGCAGCTCTGCCTGTTTGCAGGACGTTTCACACCATGACAAGACCGATAAGGCACACATGGCACACATGGCACACATGGCACATACATATGGCACATTGGTCCCGCCACTCATTCGATCTCGATGAGAGGTTCGTCAAGCGGGGCCGCAGACGGGCCGACGCCCGTCAGGCGCCCCAATCCACGGCACGAATTATTGGCGGATCGGATGGGCACATTGGACCTCTTTGCTAAAGCCACTCCACCCGCGGACCCCGGGCACGGTGGTGACGCATTGCGTCGTCTGCCTAAGCGCATCCGATGCTTCTTGGTTCGAGGGGCACAATGGGCAACGAAAAAGCTCCGCCAATGGAGCAGCCATGGCAATGTAATCTATGAGGTGATTAGGGGCTGATGGCATCAGACTGGTGGGTACGGAGTAGGGTCCTCAACTCGATAGACAGCACATGTACAGTGTGTTTGTACACTTGGGGAGAGCAGCGCCTTGCGCACATGACCAACCATGCATGGGCAGAAAAAGACGCCGGCTACGCCTTCGTGCGTTATCAGCGGCAGGTTTCGCGGTCATTTATATACTCTGGTGGAGGGCGATGTCACGTGAATGCGTAGAGGGCCGGGCGGCAGCGTTGATTGGACGAGGCGACCATGTGATGTCATTGGCTGTGAGGGGGGCCGTCACGTGACGCCGACTAGCCTCGCCTCTCACCACGGGCGCAGCCGCCACTGCAGCCACGGCCACGACGATTGGTACCTGTCAGACGAGGCATCAAGGCGTGCCAGTTGTGCGCTCCGCGTACCATGCTGCGCCGCCGACGGCCTAGAGAGCGGCGGAGCAGTACTGCCAGCTGCACGGGGTGTGGTGGAGCAGAAGCAGGCGGGCGAGAGGGAGGAGCTGGCGGGCGAGGGGGAGGAGTCGAGGAGCTGGACGAGCTCGAGAAGTCGGGGCATGGCCTGTATCCCTTCATTTTCGACGAGGCCAAACCGCGCTAGCGGGCGCGCTAGTCGCCGGCAGCCGCACCCACCCGTCCCGATGCAGGCTAGCCTGTGGACCGCATCCGCCCTTCAACTCTCCCCAGTGCCACACAACATGGCCTGTAATTGGAAGATTGCCCTTCCAGGTCTCATCCATATGGGTCGCCACGTCGCCCCTGTGGGCGGCCTGGAGCTGGTGTTGCCTGCCGTGGCCCTCTCCGTCGTCATAGTTGCCTGTTTCTTGTCACCATGTCTCCCTGCTACTCCAGCAGCACAGGGAGACATGAACACAGCAACAGACACAGCCGTGGCCTTGGCTCTTCCGCTGTGCATATGCATAAGCAATATACAATTAAGCTGTCGTGGGGATGCTCACGTCGTGTTGGAATTGGCCAGTTTTGGTAGACGGCAGCCAGATGCTCGCTGTCTGTGGCTCTCCTATGTACATGCCATATGTAGTTGCGAGAGAGGGCCGAAGACGCTATACCCAAACGGGGTGGCAATGCATGGCTACAGCCATAACACTGACACGCCTTCTCTCACTCACGCACATACACCCTCTCTCTTCGCCTCACCCTTCCTTCTCCCACTCTCCCCAAACTCTTCTCGTGCATACTGCACCCTGGTCCTCTTCTCAAAGCGCTCACGTCGCACACTGGAGGGTTGAGCACAGACCGCGCCCCAGCGCCCTCTGTCCCTTCTGCACTTGCCTCTTTCCCTCTGCCAGTCTTCTCCCCAGTCTTGATCTTGCCCATGGCCACCTCACGCTTCGCCAGCCGTACGCATCTTCTCCCACCACCCCTCTATCCAAGACATCCATGCTGACCATCCGTATCAAGTCGCTGCCCGCCGTCTTGCATTAGTGCCCAGCGCACCTCCCGCATTGTCACTTGTCTCGGCTGTGCAGGCGTCCTCGATACGCTACAGCAGTCAGCATGCCAAACCCTCGGCTTCCAAGAGTCTCCTCCCTCCCGAGACGCCTCTGCCGTCCCAGTCAAAACCCAGCAATGCAGCAGAATATGTCCTGTAAGTCGATCCACACCCTCTTCTGCATCCCACGACCCACAAGGCTGACATGCCCAAGCACGACATTTGATCAAATTGCCGCCTGGGCCCGGCAAGGCTCTGTGTGGCCACTCACCTTCGCCTTGGCATGTTGTGGTATCGAAATGATGCATTGCTCCATGCCCCGCTATGACCAGGACCGTCTAGGAATCATTTTTCGCGCCTCTCCCCGTCAGGCCGACATTATGATTGTCGCTGGCACTGTCACTAACAAGATGGCCTCTGCTGTCCGCCTGTGCTACGACCAGATGCCAGATCCCAAATGGGTTCTTTCCATGGGCAGTTGCGCCAACGGAGGAGGATACTACCACTACAGCTATAGTGTCCTTCGCGGTGTCGACCGTATCCTGCCTGTTGACATCTATGTTCCTGGTTGTCCGCCCACGGCCGAAGCTCTGCTTTACGGCATCTTCCAGCTCCAGAAAAAGATGAGGGATCAAAGGGTCACCAGGATGTGGTACCGCAAGTAAACTTGAATTACTCTTGTGCATGGCTTCGACCACATACGACATAACATAGTACAACGATTTCCATAGTCTTCTTGGAACCCCATACCTTCCATGGCTCCATAAGGGTCCGGAAATAAATCAATATACCACTGCAGGCAGATTATTCAACATGTTCAACATTTACAACGCCGTTGCTTATTACAAATCCTGTTTCTACCTATGACAGCAAGGAAACTTTCCCCTCCAGAATGGATCAAGTACAACTCCGGTGATTACTTCAAAGCTCCCATCTTGCATAGAAAATGTTTCGATTAGGCTATCCCCAAAATCCAATTGGCACACGAATTGGGCCAATGATAAGCATCCGACTGACACGCATACAGATCTACTACACCTGCGACCCTTGACTATGAACCCCCACTATGGCACCCCACGCGGGACAACATCGGCTAATTTTAGATAGTAGCTGCGAAATCGTGGCATGCGAGCTAAGTCACGTGCAACGATGCAAACGTGGGAGCCTTTTCATGACGCTTCGACAACTCCTTTGGCCAACAGCTTCGATTTGACAGCGACGCGCTCTGAGAAGACGGCCATAGGTACTCCGGCCATGACATCAAAGACGGCAATGCGTGACTGACATTCCCGCAATGCCCAGTTGACCAGCTCAATGGCAGCCAAAGAATCAACACCATAGCTGTGTAAGAAGCGACCGGTATCGAGCTCTTCTGGCGGGACACCCAGCATCTTGGATACGCGTAGTACCAGTGCAGAAAGGACCGCTGATGTTGCTTCAGGCAGGTTCTTTGCTTTAGAAAGAAGAGCAGAAAGCGCTTCTTTTTCTGCACCACCTCCTCCCGCCTTGGCTCCGTCATCAAGCTCGGCAGCGCCCATGCGAGCCACAATCCCGAAGCGGGCATCTGTATCAAAGTAGTACGGTGGCTCGATACCTGCAGCGATTGAAGCCGCCTTGGTTCCCAGGCCTGTTGGCAGCTGAGCCCCTGTTTGGTCGGGTGTCATGCAAAGCCTCATCAAGGCGACAAACTCGTGCTCGCGGATGCCCCATACCTTCTCCCACTGCGCAATATCGCCCACAGCGCCCTCTTCGGCCAGGCGACCGACTTCACGCATGAGCCCCAGGTCGATGCTCACGGCGTGCTTGCCGCGTGTGCGACGGGAGTGAGCCAGTGCGTCTTGAAAGCCGCAACCAGCGACGTAGTTGGCCTGGCCACGATTGCCGAAAACGCCGCAGAAAGATGAGAGCATGATGAAGAAGTCAGTCGTTTCGGGAAGAAGGTCGTCCAAGTTTTTGCTTCCCTGGACCTTTGGACGTGTCGATTGAACCCAGTCTGCGTAGGTCATGTTTTCGAATAAAACATCACGGAGAACCATTGCGCATTGGAAACAGCCACGGATGGGGCCGTCAAGCTCAGATTCGGCTTGCGCAAAGGCAGTCTTCAGAGAAGATTCCGAAGAAACGTCGCAGGGTATGGGCAAAACTGCAATGTTTTTCCCTCGCAGTTCGGCGAGGAGTTGCTCAGCATCCTTTGAAAGGTTACGCGAACGATTGAGGAAACACAGCTTGCGCGCGCCATCAGCAACAAGCATTTTGGCAAGAGAGCGTCCCAGCCCTCCCAGACCTCCAACCAGAACATAGACACCGTTCTGGTCAAGTTCCATAGGCGGCGAAGGGCAGCGTAGGGTTGGTACGACATGCTCAGGCTTCCACTGCAACACAATTTTGCCCGTGTGTCTGCCCGACTGCATCAGCCGCACTGCCTTTTCCATCTCAGAGATGGTGTGTGTAAGCAAAGGGGCTGCTGGCTTGATTATGCCTTGTGTGAGCAACGGCTCGGTACCTTGTACGATCTCGGCCATAAGAGCAGGACGGTTGTCCCAAATGTCCTTGAGATCAAAGAAAGAGAAGGTGGCGCCGTAACGGAATGGCCGCATATCCAGGCGGGTGTTGTCCAGAATATCTCGCAAACCAATTTCGACGAAATGGCCGCCTGGAGCAATACACTCCCAGCTGCGTCGCATTGATTCGCCTGCAAGAGAGTTGAGAACGATATCTACGCCCCTTCCATTTGTCATGCGCCTCACTCCCTGGGCGAACTCCAAATCGCGGCTGTTGAAGATGTGGTCCTCGGCGACACCATACTGGTCTTGGACGAGCTGTCGTTTTTCTGGACTACTGACTGTAGTGAAGACTTCCAAACCCAAGTGCCTTGCGATCTGTAGTGCCGCTTGTCCAACACCGCCTGCACCAGCATGGATTAGGATGCTCTGCCCCTTCCGTGCTCGAGCAATGTAAACGACACCATACCAAGCTGTGTAACTTGTCACTGGCAGGCTAGCTCCTTCTTCGAAAGACATGCTCTCTGGCAGCTTGAACGCATAATTTGCCTTGCTTCTGAACAGCGTGCTGTGAGCACCGTTCCCAAGCAGAGCGACTCGGTCGCCCTTCTGGACATGTGTGACGCCACTTCCTACACGCATCACGGTGCCTGCTGCCTCCAAACCCAGGGTTGTGGATGGCAATAGACCCATAATTGTCATGACTTCGCGGAAATTCAAGCCAGATGCCGCGACTGCAATCTCAATGTCGTCTGCATCCAGAGGCGCACCTGCATCCGACTTGGGCTCAAAACGGATCGAGTCAATAAGACCTGGCTTTCCGACAGCCAGCTCAATAGCTGCTGTAGCAGCGCTAATGGGTAGAGGTTCGATCATGGATGATTCTTTGGGATTGGTGTTGAGATGCAAAGTCTCATTGATGGTCTCGTCCTCAAGTACACGACAGATGTAGGGAATCCCGTTGCGAATCTGGAACTCATGATCCGGAGGAAGAGTGCTCGTAGTACTCTCCATATGCCTGCCGCAGAATATCTCTGCGGTGACGGTAGCGGATCGTGCAAGCTGGCCCTCTTTGCTCGATCTATCAACCAGAATGGAGAGTGGTTGGAGAGCGAGAAGTTCGTTGTGCAGAGTGCGCATGACTCCAATCATCATGGCGGCCATGGGAGTACCACCAGCCATCGCATCATCTGCTCCCGTCACCCAGGTCAAGTGTGAAGCCTGGAGCACAGTTCGCTTCATCAGGGCAAAGTCTTGTTCACTGAGATCACCGAGGAGGGGCTTATCGAACTCGACGAGCGAAATGCAAGGCCTTTCCCGAACAGCTTCATCTGAGATTCCATCCCAAACAAGCACTTTGCCTGTGCGGCCGTTCGCAGTCAAAGCTTGGAGCAGAGTGTTCTCAAACACTTCCAGTTCTGGACTCTTGCTTTGTGGACTCAGGATGATAATATCAGATGGCTCCGAGTGTCCATTGGTGTGGTTTGAACTGTGCTTCTGCACTTCAAAGATTTTCGCAACGAGTTTGTCGTCTTTGAACTGCAGTCTTTCAGTAATTCTCGAGTTGGCGGAGCAGATGGATGCAAGCTTGTCGGCGGTCTCTGCAGTATCGACAAGACAAAGAGTATGGCGATGCTCCCCGTCCAGAGATTCAATCAGTGTATTGAGCTCTTCCTTGGTATTTTCGCCCTCACCCATGTGAGAAGCTATAACGAAGTCGGATTTTAGCTTGTTTGGTTGCAAAGCCTCGGCAGTGCTTATCAGCTCGAAGTTGAGGTTCTGACCATTCATCTTATCCAGCACTTCCTGTATCGCCTCCTTCTGGTCATCAGAGCAGACACATTCGTACTTGCTAGTTGAGAACACGCTACGGGTGATGCTCAATTCGGGTAGCAATGGGCGGCTAGAGCTTGCTACTTCACTGATCTTCATGTCTGGGTTTTCATGATGCCATAGGTCGATGAACTTGGACACCTTGGACAGAGCTGATACAGTGCACTGAGTTCCATTACAAAGCTCAGTTTCAATTGCAGAGATGATGTCTTGTGGGTCCAGCAGACTCAAGGCAGGCTTCCAATCCAGTTTCCCGCACACGCTCTTTGGCTTGGTGGCGCCTCCGTCGTTTTCTGCTTCATCCGCTAGGCTTGCATAGCACAGACCGATCAGCTTGATCGCTGGAGCTTGCGTGTTTGGATTTTGCATGAAAATATCTGCTTTAAATTCTTTGGCGCCATAATCCTGGGCATTGCAGAAACCTGCAATGTGATCACCAGCAGACCAAGGCACATCCATGTTGATGACAACGTCGTCGACGAATTTTGGGATCCACGCCTTCTTCACATCCATTGCAGCAAATGCCATGTGAATGACAGCATCCAGAAGGGCCGGATGTACAACGTGTGGTCTGACCCCATCCAGAGAATATGAGGTGTCATTCAGGCCGACGTCAGGAACGTCGACACAACCACTGCTCTGGCCACCACCGGACTGGCCACGTCTTGAAATGGCACTGATCTTTCTGAAGTTTGGCCCGTAGGTAAGCCCAATAGATGCGAGATGTGTGTAAAAGTCAGCGACATCAAGCCTGGTAGTACAAAGATCTTGGGCCTCGTTTGCGCAGCGTTGCAGGGTCGTCTTGTCAGCTGCCATCTCTGTGCTCTCACGCTCACCCGCGTATGTTACATCGAGGAGACCAAGGCAGTTACGTTCAAACCTCTGGCCATCCGGAGAGCTTGAGACGATAAACTCAGTCCAAGTGCTGGCTGTACTCATTGTGCCTGCTTGATGCGGTCTCAACACAATCGAGAACTCGACGTCTTCGTCCTCCTCGATCATCATGGGTGATACAAACTGGACATGGCGGAGATGAAAGCCACTCACTTTCCGGTCCCGACTCGACATTTGCATCGCAGCCTCGATGGCCATGGCAAGAAAACCGGCAGCGGGATATATGGTGCTTCCTTGGATTTTGTGCTCACTCAGCCAAGGCTCATCTTTGGTGCGCATATATCCACGCCAAGTGTGCTCGCCAGCAGTGGGCGACGGAATGGGTGCTCCTAACAAAGCGAGGTGTGGGAACCTGCGCAAGCGCTGCTCCCTAGCCCATCGTGTTTCGGCCCAATATCTTTGGCTGTGATTCCATGGGTACGAGGGGAGACCAACCAGAGTATGAGGCTTGCGAGATGCCAAACGAGCTACGGTAGCAAGGTCGTTGACCTGCTCGAGCCGAATAGGAACAGACTGCGCGTGTAGGTCTCCAGCCAAGCTGAGAGCAGTCTTGACACCGTCCTCAAAACGCAAAAGAACAGAACGATATGGCACGTTGGTAACGCCTATATCCTTCAGGCTTTGTAACGAAGGGCCCTGGAGAGCAGAATGCGGACCTACTTCAACGAGGACATCGACTGCATTTACATTTGCTCTTCCACCCGTCTTGTCACTGTTGGGTGGGCGAATAATATCCTGCACGGAGCCAGCAAATCTGACTGGAGAAACAAGATTTCGTACCCAGTGCGCTGGACCCAACTCGCTTGGTTGAACCTTGGTACCTGTACAACTCGAGTACATGACACATTGGCCATTGCCAGACTGAGTATGCACATCATCAATAGCCTCCAAGTAGGCAGAGGCAATGGCCTCCATGTGATGTGAGTGGTATGCTGTATCGACTTGAAGTTTCCTCGCAAAGATACCTTCTTGGCTGATGACTTCGGTGAGCTTATCGATTCCAGCGACATCGCCTGACAAAGTTACGCTTGAAGGCGAGTTGATGCAAGCAACGGTGACTTGGCCGGGGGCTATGCGTTTGATCAAAGCTTCTGCTTGTTCAACAGATGCTCCCACAGCCATCATGGCCCCATGCGTGTTCGGCGATAGCTCTTTGAGGCTGCTTGACAAAATGCCGCGGTAGAACGCTATCTTCCATGCGTCCTTCCTAGCCAAGGCTCCGAGGCAATACGCCGCTCCAATCTCGCCGCTGGAATGACCAATTACCGCCTTGGGCTCAATCCCCCACTGCTTGAGGAGATCTACCAATGCCACTTGCAGGACGGTGCAGAGTGTCTGGCTGTACTCGGCGATACCCAGCTGAGACTGGCCCTTTGGTCTCCGGAGTTCCTCTTCAGCAGACCATTCGCAGCCCAATTCGGACACCAGGTATTCGTCTGCGGCGCGTACGCTCTCAGCAAATGTGGGAAAGACCATGAGCTCCATGCCCATGCCACCCCATTGAGCTCCCTGCCCGGTAAACACAAAACCTAGACTGGGCGGCCGGTTTGCAGAAAGATACTGTGGCGATGGGGTTTCCTTGTCCTGCAGAGTTTGTAGGAGATCTCCAACGGAAGATGCTGTTGCGAAAGACTTCCACTGGTGCAAAGTGCGTCGTGAGTTCAAGGTGTACGCCAGGTCAGCCATGAAGCTTTTCTGCTCAAGCTTTTCGCTTGTCCCTGTTTTGGTCTGGAGATACTCGACTAGCTGCTGTTTGGTTCGATCGATGCCATCTTTGTCTTGGGCGCTCAGAGAGAACACGAGAGGTAAGGTACTTGCTTGGCCATTGGCAACTTTGCCCGTCGTCCCGTTCGAGTGGCCATTACTAACGGTTCCATGTAGTAATCTTTGGTCCTGGCCATTGCGTGTGCTGTGAATTCCATTGAGCTGCCGGGCTTTCAGGTACGAGAATGCGTCATCCATCACTACATGCGCATTGGTGCCGGCGAAACCAAACCCATTCACGCTGACACGACGGATGCCTTGGCGCTCTGGGAAGGGCACTAGCGTGCTAGGTATGGCCAGTTTCCAATCGTCAAGCGGAATCTTTGGGTTGATGTTCTTAACTGTGATGGTGCCGGGGATCAGCCCGTGTTCAAGGACAAGGACAGCTTTGACCATTGCTGCAAGGCCTGCGCAGGCCTCAAGATGTCCAATCTGGAAATGATACATTCAGCACATCAACTCCATACGCCTTTGTATGCTTAGAGGTAAGATTGGACGTACGTTTGACTTGACCGAACCGATCACCAGCTTTTCGGCAGCTGATCTCCCGGCTGCAATCGTAGTTGAGAGGGCCTTGGTTTCCTCTTGATCACCTGCTTGTGTTCCGGTGCCCTGTACAGAAAAGCCAACGTCAGTTTTGCACTGTCAGCACAGCAGACACTGTACTCACATGGGCTTCGATATATCCGGTTTGTTCAAACCCTAGGCCAGCTAGGTCATATGCATCGCGGATCAAGTCCGCTTGTGCTCTCCAATCTGGCAGAGTGAGGCCTTTGGTGTGGCCATCCTGGTTGCTGGACGTTCCCCTTATTACTGCTCTGATAGGGTCTCCGTCGCGCACTGCATCTTCAACTCGCTTGAGCGCTAATGCCCCAATACCTTCACCTCTTCCATAACCATCACCAGATGCATCGAAAGCTTTGCTCCTCCCGTCTGGAGCTAGCAATGATGCACTACTTAGCACTTTGAACATATCAGGTGAAAGCATGAGGTTTGTTCCACCAACAATGGCCATGTCGCTCTCCATGGCTCGAATGCTCTGGCAAGCCGTGTGTAATGCTACAAGACTACTTGAGCAAGCTGTATCAAGAGTCAAACACGGTCCATGGAGATCCCACAGCCAAGAAAGCCGACCCGCCATGGTAGTTGCATGGTTGCCAGCTAATGTGTACGTAGGCATGTTATCCGCATCTTTGCGGAGGATGTTGTAGTAGTCGTCTGTCAGGACACCGACGAACACGCCTGTCCGCGAGCCTGCGATGCGTTGCAGAGGAAGACCAGCAGCCTCGAGAGCCTCATATGCTACCTCGATGAGCAGGCGCTGCTGCGGGTCCATAGCCAAGACCTCGGCTTTTGGGAGTGTAAAGAATCCGGCATCGAAGCGAGCAACATCGTCTTTTAGAAAAAAACCAGACTTGGTTTTGCTGCTGTTGCTTCGTCTGTGCTCAGAAGGACTCCAAAATGCATCACCGTTGAACCGGTCTTTTGGAATTTCTCTCCATGCGCCTGGACAGTTGTCAGTATCCCCGTAGTATGACTCGTTGGAACCAGCCAAATTGAGCTCATTGGACTGCGAATGGGATTCATCAACAGGACTACATACACTCGCCACTGGCTATTGAGTTCCAGAATTTGTCGACATCTTGGCAATTGCCGGGAAATCTGCAGGACATGCCAATTACGGCAATGTCGCCTGTGTAAATGTCGTTCATTGGCATTGAACCCATGGTTGTAGTATGAATCAGTTGGTCTGTTGAAAGGCCGGTTGATCTGGTGTTGAGAATTGCGCTTCAATCACGCTCAAACTTCATGCAACGACAAGCCCAGAGATCATGGAGTCTTGTTTTAATTGCTAACATGAGATACCTAGTTACGTTTCCGCCACCCACTTGATACAACATTTAACCCCACACGTAGTGCACTAGTTTACGGCAAAGACCTCCATCCCGAATCGGGACATAAGTGGACAGTATCGATGGCGGAGCAATTTCCACTAAAGTCATCGATATAAGTGTGGGAACGACCCGCCTCATTATAAAAGCCCCGCTGTTTTAGGTTTCCACTTTATATGCAGGCTTCATGGCGGAAAATATAGCGGAGCTTTCTGCGGACAATTTTCAAGAAGATTCGTCTAGTTGTATTGCAGCGCGGTTATCTTATCTTTATGTTGGTTTAGGCATCAGTGAGACGAAGTCGCCACCGTGCGTTGCACGGGTAATACTGCAAGAAACGGTTGAGGGTAGGTCTGAGCACTCTGTTGATGATAACACGTGCAAAAGCCGATGTGATTGATCTTATGAATTTGCATCTGTTTCTTCCAGCAGAGACCCAATTCACTTCGCAGCTCCCACATTCAACATGGGAGATACACATACTCATCTGCTTGTTTTCGGCGATACGGCCACTGATCGGCTGTCTATGATCCAGGCGCTGGTCCGCCATTCAAAGTCCTCACCAGCCGCACGCACATTTCTCCAGCAGGCAAGAGATAAATTGGACATTGAGTTTGCAAAGTTGAGGCCAGAAGAGAGAGATTGGACTCGCTCGGAATCGCTGCTGGCGCTGGCTGAGGAAGATGCCGACCCTGATGTGCCCACAAGTGCTTTCATCCCCACTGTGTTAGCCATCGTTGGGCGACTCGGTGAAATCATTGTGTAGGTGACTGTCAAACTTGAATAAATGGGATTGCGAATAGAGACTGACCTTGATTTCTCTTTCTAGGCGTGCGGAGAAAGACCCATCCATACTGGGTTCCAGCGCAAATCCAACACATATCCTGGCCTTTTGCTCAGGGCAGCTAGCGGCCGTCCCGCTTGTTGCTGCGCAGGACACATCAGAGCTACTACCAGTAACCCTAGAGATTCTGACCATTTGCGTCCGATACATCTCTCTTACAAAACGGCTGCGAAGTAACCTTGTGGCTCCTCATGAAACAGGAGCTTGGTTCGTCACATATCTCGGCATACAGGCAGATCGCATGCAAAAGATTCTTGATGAATACCACGAGTCCCATAGTGTGCCTTCATTACAGAGGATCGGAATAGGTGTTGTTTCCGAAGGTTGGGTCACTTTGATAGGGACGCCATCATCCTTCTCCCGTCTTGCTGCAGCGTCACCGGAAATCTACAATGCTCCACACATACCTACCGATGTGGGTGGTCCATCCCACACCCATCACATGCCAATTCCCAATGTTTACGAGATGGTGGGAACATCTCCTCTCCTGGACCGCACAATTGACTGGTTTAAAATCACCATGGCCGATCCAGTCGGAGGTGGGGATCCATGTCGACACACAACCTTGCGAGATTTGGTTGGAGAAATTCTCGTCAATATCTTGGAGAGGCCCTTACGAATTGACAAAGCTACTAAGACGTGCACGGACCGCCTTCGGGATGTCGTGTCCCAGACTGACAAGACCTGCAATCTCCAGGTTCATGAAATGGGTAAAACCCCACACATGAGCTTCGTTCAAAAGTCTCTTAAGGGCTCCAACATCGCATACGATTTGGTCTCATCTAGCGTACCCGCTTTTGTTGATCCAGAGTTTTCAACCACTCGTGGATCATCAGACCTGGTAGCCATTGTTGGTATGGGAGGTCGATTCCCCGACAACGACACTCTAGATGGCTTCTGGGAAGATCTCTTGGAAGGCAAGTGCCATATCAAGAAGATACCCAAGAGCCGTTTCGATGTTGACAGATACTACGATGCTACGCACAAGCTCAAGAACTCCACCGCAGCCAAGGAAGGCGGCTGGCTTCGCGACCCTGGCCTCTTCGACAACCGATTTTTCAACATCTCGCCGCGGGAGGCTATGCAGCTGGACCCCGTGGCACGGTTGGCTCTGACTACAACACATGAAGCGCTTGAGATGGCTGGGTACTACCCAGGGGCTACCCCGTCCACGAACCCAGATAGGGTGGCGACCTTCTTTGGCATTACGGGAATGGACTGGACCGAAAGCCTACATCAGCAAGGATTAGATATCTATGCCGTTTCTAGCATTGCAAAAGCCTTCATCACTGGTCGTATCAACTACACCTACAAGTTTGGGCGTGGCTGCTATTCCCTCGACGCCGCTTGCGCTTCGAGTACCACTGCCATCACACTGGGAGTGCAGAGTCTGCTTTCTCGGGATTGCGACATGGCTCTCGCCGGAGGTGGCTCTATCTTCTCCAGCCCTTTTGCTTTCTCAGCTCTCAGCCGGTCAGGTATGCTTGCGTACGAAGGCGGCTGTAGAACGTTCCACGATGATGCAGATGGCTATGCTCGCAGCGAGGGTATGGGCATGGTCGTGTTGAAACGTCTTGAGGATGCACTGGCAGACAACGATAACATCCTGGGTGTTATTCGTGGAGCCGCACGCTCCTATAGCACAACATCGACGTCTATTACCCATCCCAGCCATGTGTCACAGGAGAAGGCATTCCGTGAGGTCCTCGGTCAAACAGCCGTTGATCCAGAGGAAATATCCTACGTTGAGATGCATGGCACGGGCACCCAAGCTGGGGACTTTGAAGAAATGACTTCAGTCTTGAATGTAGTGGGGGGTCAGCGAAATGCTAGCAATCCGCTGACAGTCGGGGCTGTCAAAGCAGCTGTTGGACACGGTGAAGGTGTTGCAGGCGTCACATCGCTGATCAAGGCGTTGATGATGCTGAAGCATGGCCAGATTCCACCGCAGCCCGGGGTTCCCTTCAAGATCAACAGCAAGTTTCCTCAGCTCGACAAGCGCCATGTCCACATAGCCTTGGATCAGTCGCAACTTCGAGCTAGCCCAAAGGCAAGAGATGAGAAGGTGAGGATGCTTGTAAATTCCTTCGATGCCTCGGGGGGAATATGCTCCTTGGTACTCGAGGAAGGACCTCAGCTGAAAGGCTCCACACCACCCGATCCACGTACCAGCCATGTGGTTGCAGTTTCTGCTCGCACCCCACTGTCGTTACAGCGAAACTGCGAGCAACTTTTGGCATTCCTGGAGAAAACACCTAGCACACGCCTTGAGCACTTGGCATACACAACTACTGCAAGGCGTATGCACAATGCCTTGCGCAAGGCATTCGTAGCATCTTCAATGGAAGACCTGAAAAGGCAACTCATTGAACACATTCAGAGCAGCGCCAGTCAGGGCAATGTCCAGAAACCGAAAGTTCCGAAAGTGGTCTTTCTCTTTACAGGCCAGGGAAGCCAATATACCGCCATGGGAAAGACATTGTATCAGACTAGCAAGTCCTTCCGCAGCGTGCTGGAAACCTATCAAGTGTCAACCCAAACTCTTGGTCTCCCAGACTTTATGCCTGTTATTGCCGACGATGGCTTCGACTTGAGTACAGCATCTCCAACTCAGCTGCAGCTTGCGATCGTGGCGCTTGAGCTTGCTGTGACAACAATCCTACGATCATGGGGCATTGTCCCGGACGTTGTCATGGGTCATAGCCTTGGCGAATATGCAGCTCTCTGCGTCGGTGGTGTATTGTCACCAAGCGATACACTCTATCTTGTGGGTCAGCGTGCGCAATTAATGGAACAACACTTGGAGTCCAATGCGTACGGGATGTTGGCCACCAGATTGAGTGGCCATGGCCTAGATGCACACATCAAAAAGAAACAATCTCAGGGAGCAATCTCCACTTGTTGCATTGCTTGTCTCAACTCTCCAGTCAACACAGTCGCTAGCGGCAGCATAGTCGATTTGACAACTCTGAAGGATGAATTGGCTGCTGAGGGTGTTCAGACTACACTACTGCGAGTACCTTTTGGCTTTCACTCCAATCAGGTTGAGCCGGTGCTCCCAGAATTCCAAAAATTGGCAGAAAAGGTCGAGTTCAACATGCCTCGCATACCAATTGTGTCCAGTTTGACTGGAGACGTGGTGACGGAAACTGGTGTCTTCAACGCTCAATACCTCTCTCGCCAAGCTCGTGAGCCTGTCAACTTTGTCCGTGCTCTGCAATCTGTCGAGGCGGCTGGCTTCACTGGCACACAGTCTTTGTGGGTAGAGGCTGGTCCCAGTCCAGTTTTGCTGGGGCTCGCGCAAAAGACACTGAACATTCCAGCGTCGCGCATGTTACCTGCTTTCAAGCAAAATGAGGAAAATTGGAATACCTTGGGAGCCTTACTGAAGGCGAGCTATGAGAACGGTATGACTGTTCAATGGCCCACTTATCATGCGGAGTTCGTAGGATCTCTGCGCATGCTACCGGATCTTCCTACATATGCTTGGGACTACAAGGACTATTGGATTCCGTACACCAGCCCTCCTGCATGGGAGATTGAAAAGGCTCTTAACAGCGTCCACAACTCTGCAGGGGGTGATAGAAGCGACAATGGGCATAAAGTCAAGAACCAGTTGCCTTCATCAACACTGCACATGCTGGAACATGAAAGCTTCGATGAGGCTTCTCGAACGATGAAAGCAGTCTTTTCATCGGAAACTTCCACGCCCAGCCTCCGAAATGCAATCGAAGGCCATGTCGTCAATGGGCATAAAATCACGCCGCTCGGCATATTTTGCGAGATGGCTCTTGCAGCAAGCAAATACTGTCTTTGCCGGCTGGATAATAGTACAAGTGGTGAAGAGCTTGACGCCACAACATTGAGGGTGATGGATATCACACTTGAACATCCAGTACTACTCGATGGATCTGCCAGTCCAGTAATTCTGACCTCTGCCGTCTGCTCTGCCACCGACAAGACCACAAAGATTGTGTTTGAGTACAAGAGCGAAGCCGGTGCTACTCCAAAGCCAGTAGGAGGTTGCCAGGTAGTGTTCAACCTATCTAGCAGTAAGTCAGCTGCGCTTTCACCAGCAATCTCACAGACTGTGTATTTGATCAAAGCCCGGATGGCACAGCTTCGCTCACTTGCTGCAAGGGGACAAGCCCATCGCCTCTTACGCCCTGTGGTGTACAAAATGTTCGGTTTCTATGTCAAGTATAGCCCAAGCTATCATGCTATCGACGAGGTCATCTTGAGCACTGAGTCGGAAGATGCTGTTGCATCCGTCACCGCACCTGTCACCGACGAGCACGCTCAGCATGTCTGCAATCCCTACCTCTATGATGGAGTAACACATCTCTCGGGGTTTGTGATCAACAATGGACTGCGGTTTGATGACTCGGAGGTGATCTGCATTGCTGACGGCTTTTCCGATTCGTGCATGTGGCAGCCGCTGGTCGCTGGGAAAAAGTACACTACATATGTAAGCTTGCATGAAGTACCAGGGTCTACCGGACGGTTTGAGGGCAGCTGCTATATCTTTGGCACTGAGGATGGTCAGCTTATTGGCATGTACTCAGGCTTCCGGTTCCGAAAGATGAAGAAGACTGTGCTGGACTATGTCTTGGGTGGTTCAGCAAAGGTTGCTGTCCGTCCTCGGCCAATCGATCATGAGCATGCTGTCGCTAGCATCCACCCTCAGCCATCAGCTATTGCAGACAAGGACCGGAATCAAAGTGGGCATGTTGTAGCTGTCAGTAGACTTGCCGCAACAGCTGGAAACAAACCCAAAGTGCCGGCTGTTCAGAGTAATCCGGTGGCCTACCGAGAACATCACTTGGTTGACCGCATCTTCGATATCGCAGCAGCAGAAGCAGGCTGCTCTGCTGCAGACATGACGGATGAAGCATGCTTTGACGATCTTGGTATTGACTCGCTTCTTGCCATTGCGGTCCTTTCACGATGTCATCACGAACTCAACTTGGACCTGCCAGCAACGTTCTTCTTGGACAACAGGACAGTCGGCGATGCAAAGCAGGCCCTTGCTGAAAACCATGGTCTCACCCCTCCCGGACTGTCGTACGCACAGAGCACCAAGAGTGACGATTTTGCGCAGCCTCTGACCCCGACTGAGTCTGAGGACAGAGAACGGGCCGATGTACTTGCTCTGAGCGCTAGCCATCAGGTTGAGGAAGGCTTCGACAAACCGACCCTTGCAGTCGATTCAAAGCACATTTCGGAAGTCGAGAGCGCACCCAAGTCCATCGAGATGCCTGCAATGCCAACGCAAGAGTCGTTCACCTCCTCACAGCTGGCTTCGAATGATGCCTTCACACACCTACAAGGTCCAGACTCAGCAGGTACAATGCTTTTCTTGTTTGCTGACGAATCGGGGTCTTCCAGCAACTACAGACAGATTCCAAGTCTCGATCTTGCAATCATTGTCTATGGCGTCAACTGGGCTGTTGCCTCAGGTACCGACTCGGAAAACGAATCCAGCATTAAGAGCATTGCGCAAACTCTTGCTTCGGCTATTTCTTCAGGTATCAGCTCTAGCAGACGAGTGATTCTCGGTGGTGTTGGCGTCGGTGGTGTCCTTGCCGTTGAAGTCGGAGGCTTACTTCACAACAACATTGCAGGCGTCATCGTACTCGACCCTGCCACAGCCTCAAAAGATGTCATCGCGCAGTCAATGGATCGCCTGAAGCGCATGCGCATTCTCAGACCCGCGCAGAAAAAAAACATGACGCTTGCGAGTGATCTCGTGGTGGCGTACAAGCCCGCGTCTGTTGAGAACAATGGTATGAAGTTGATAACTGTAGTTCCTACAGCAGGTGACTTGGGCGTTGCTAGGGAATGGGGCCCTAGTACGGTTGTTCATCATGTGGAGCTGGAAAGCGGGGCGTTTCTAAAAAAGATTGATGTTTTAGGCGAAAAGCTAAGGGAGGTGCTAGGTATGCTGGCGTAGTTTGTTGGTAGTCAATTCTAATACCTTGTTCTGGAAGTCCAGTTGCATCTTCATGGCTGTTGTTTCTGGGATCTAATGAGATGGGAAAACTTGTTAACAGTGCGATATATGGCTCTAGTCCTATCGCAAATCTCTTTCGTGATTCTCGAACTAATTTGTATCTTTCCAAATAGATTGCGACGCTGTGACTTGGGATTGCAGTGATGCGGAGGGTAAACAACACGTGCATCGAGAAATGTGTCGACGAAGGCATCGTCCCACTTTTGGAGTCAAAACCCGATATACATTACCACTAGTGGGCCAGATCTGCTGTCGAAAGTTGAGTATTGCATCACAAACACACACCTTAGAGGAATGGAACTTGTATTGGCATTAGTGAAGACTCGTGTTGCGCTAACCATTTTAGGACAGCCGGTGCGTCCCGTGACTTTGACACAAGGCAAACGAAATCGTACTCGAAATCAGTAGATTATGTCAACTTATAAAGTTTACATAAAATACTTGAGTTAGAGCAAAAATTTCCACACTCGTGTCATCAACCTGTTGATGCAACGGGCGGGCGGGAATTATGGGTGCGTCTTGGCGAAGGAGACATCAGGCAACAGCAACAGCTCACACTCACGAACCGCAACACCAACACTTTGCTGTTCAGCCACCCACAATGGAACCATACACTGCGCCCTCAACAAGAATTGAGCTCAAAAAGCTTTCTCAAAAGTTTCGAGACTGCATCCAGATGCTGAACGTTAAAATGGAAGAGCTCTCCAAGTCAGCATCCCGTGATTGCGGCGATGACATCATTTCCTCTTCAACGGCGGGAAACAGCCCCGGCCTTCAGGACGCCCTCATTCAGTTGCAACGACTTTGCGAGATCTCAGAAGAATGTATGTGACCCTCTGCTGTCTCTCATGGCCTATCAAATTAATTTTTTGCTAGTGGCTGTTCACTATGAGGCGCAAACCGTCACGCAGACACATAAAAGCTGCACCATTGCTGCATCGCACCATCCTTGGACAGATAGCCCTACAAAAGAAGAGCATGAGAGCGCACCTCAATCCTTTCGTGTAGAATGGCAGCCTGCCGTCCCAAACCATGAGCAATTCTCTCCACACTCATCGATCACTGTTACTGGTCAACACGCCCCACCCGTACCAGTAAATCAATTTCCATTCTGTGGGATTCCATTTGCTCTTCCTGATACACTTGAAGCGTCCCGTGAATTCGGTTCAGATGGTGCGCTAGCCATTAGGCCCATCACAGAGACGCCCGTTCCACGACCCCCAAACTCTGGCCTTGAGCCACTCCATCAGTATGCGCATTGCAGACTCTTGATAGCGGAGGACAACGCAGTCAACCAGAGACTAATTAGTAAGATTTTCCAAAAGCTGGGCTTGCCTAACTCCACTCTTGTAATAAATGGCCTCCTTGCGGTGGAGAAGGTTCAGGAGAGCATGGAGATTATGCTCCCCTTTGATCTCATCTTCATGGACGAATCAATGCCAGTCATGAGTGGCCGGGAAGCTACACGCCAAATTCGCGCGATAGGGTATCGTGGAATCGTCTGCGGTATGACTGCTAGTGCATTCACGTCGGATGTGCAGGGGGCTTTGGATGCAGGCATGGATACTGTGCTCAAAAAACCTATTCGGACTCACGATATCCGCAATGTGCTAGTACAATCCCTTCCGCATCTTCCACAAGAACCGGAATCTGTCAGTCCGTCGCCATTACCAAGGCAGAAACCAGTTGTTAAGTCTAGGCTATAGGCTTGTCATACTCTTTTTACATGCGATTGTTATCTTTAGTTAGCTTCCTATCTATAGTTATAGAGTTAGTAGAGATACTACTATCCACAGATTGTATAAATTACTCTTGATGATTACACGTTCTTAACCTTCCAAAGGCAATACTGAAACATCATTATGGTGTGGCATATACTATTATCTGTGAACCTAACAGGTGATAAAAGCCTGTTTACCTTTGTCAATGTGTTTCTACGAAGTAAGAAACAAGTCCAAATTGTGTGAAAAGACAAAATCATATTCCTATCTACTGTTCTCTGCAACCCCTAACCTGAATATGCCCCTGCACTCTGTTTATTTTGTACAGAAAATGCCTCCAAATGAGTCCACAGGGACCAGTCTTTGTCCCGCCATAAGTTGTGGGGATCCAATGTACGAAGATTCATGGCTTCCGTTAACATAGAATATGCACTGGACCAGGTTAGGGTCAAGGTCGGGAGAAGCGCTTATAAGCCTGGCTGCGCAAAATTGAGTTTTGTAAATAAAGCCGACGTCAATTATTTCGACAGGAGAGATGGCGAGTTCTCGGATGTTGTTGGGATCTTTGCCACAGATTGTCAGTTGAACTCTCAACCATGACGTTGCGGATGCAGTGGCGGTGATTGATGCTATAATAGGAATAGACAACTTCATTCTGACGTAATTGTATTTTCACTCGTTTAAAGAACGTTTGAAGATGAAGTAGTTGTAACAAAGACAATGCTAAGAAAATGAAAGGTTTTTAAATGTACTTATACTTTATATCCATCTACATCACTCACGAGCCAATATATGTATATATATACTTACAAAGCTTGTCAGCTTACGTTAAGTATCCCGGCCTCATTTTGTTCGACACGAAGCATTTCTTCAAGTGTACAGCACTACAGGGGTAATTTCTGTTAACTTCGGACCTATTACGGTGAAGCTTTAGCGTTATATACTCTCATCTTCTGTTCAAAGAAATAGAAAACTAAGCTAAAATAGTAGCTTTTAACTAGCTATATAATAACGCTAAACTAAGAAAAGGTTAGGAATAGTAACGCTTAGCTAGTACATATGCTGACGTCTTGGCAGCCAACGACCCTGGCTGCCAAATGCTGAGTACTGACCGCTGAATGCCCCGAATGCTAGCTACTAGTTGTTAAATCGCTCATATATTGTTTAGCTCCTACCAAGACAGCAATGAAGCCAAATTGCAATAGTCAACAAGTCACCGATGTTTAGGACATCTAAGGGTATCTAAGATGCGCGCAGAAAGGGAAACATGGTCTGAATCAAACGAGAGCATTGTGAAAGACTGCCGCGGCATGAGTGACCGAAAGGCTGGCGTTAACGCGAACATTGTTGCTGCCACCCCGAGACCGTGAGAATTTTCTGCTTAGCCGTATTTCGCCCTACTAATGATACATAGCAAGTAATAAAGAGGTCTGACTGCGAGAAGATGAGCTTACTCAGCTGTTTCGCAACAAATCTTTTCAATCGTCATGATACGTCATGATATCAAGGACTTAGTACAGAGGCTATTGTTTATTGAACCCCAGTTTCTCTATAGATATGAAATTCTTGTGAATGGTAGTATCAAAGAACGTAGCGTGATTCTTCACATTTTTGTTGCTGCATGATTAGTAATACATGTTCAGTTGGGCCACAAATGTACCGCGATTATATCTAATTTCTACATGACGTAGGTAGTCTTATAGCTAAGGAACTGTAAGTTGTATTTAGTCTTGATGATATGCCGGTCTACAGGGTCGCTGGTGACCCTTGTGCTTGTTAGGTCCCACCCCCTGGTCTTTAGAAATAAGTAGTTTACTAATCACTGTAGATAGCTTTCAATCTATCACTCACGCCCCGAAAAGAAAAGTGGGTCCTGTACAGGAACAGGAGACTGCCTCTGATGCTCCAGCCTAAGAGGAAACTTGTGAGGTCGGCATTGCTCCAGCCACTGAGAAGACATCGCAGTTCTGCGCTCTACACCGGCATACTGTTTGTAAAATCCTTCAACTAAAGCCATATACCCTAGTAATCGAAATTTTATTATACATAGAATAAATAAAACTCCTAAACATCGAGGACTAAGATAGAATAGTAGAAGACATATGATTATACTAGCTAACAAGATAACAAAGGTATGTGTCAAACACCCATATAACATTCGTCTCAAGGTAATTTATTTCACGTTTTTCTTCCAAATCTCCAAACATGTACGCAACAGAAACTAGTCGAGTTATGCAACGTATTTTAGAAAAAGGCAACATTTCGTTGATAGTGGAGCTGGCTTCATTCGCTCTTGTTCAGATGCGGATTCCTAACATCAATCTCTTCCTTCCTCCTTCGAGTCTGAATTTTCAAAGCCGGATCAAATGTTGTAGCAGTCTCAAACTCCAAATCTTTTGGAGGAGACGCGCCAGGAACGAGACGAAAATCATACTTCAGCAACATGCAGCAAAGCGCGACTTTAACCTCATTTGATGCAAAGAAACGACCTGGGCAAGCGTGCTGGCCATAACCAAAAGCCATAAGTGATGGTGAAGGAGTGACAAACTGGTGGTAGTTTTCCTGGCCCGTTTGTTCCCGCAGACGAAGGAAGCGGTTCATGTCAAATTTCTCTGGGTTTGGGAAAATTCGGGGATCCAAAGCCAGATTGTCACACACCATGATTTGACTGCCAGCTGGCAATACAGTGCCATCAGATAGAGTAATGTTCTTCTTAGCCATTCGCTTCATGGATGCTTAAGCCCCGGTCAGCATATCATCATCATTATCAGGCGGTTCCACTTACTTAGATCAAGGCAACGCGTCCTCTGCACTTCCTTGAGGAAACTATCTAAGAGCCTCATTTTTCCAACTGTAATCTTGGACCAGCCTTCTGCCTGAAGAACGCGAATGACCTCCTCCCGAAGAGGTTTTACAATCTCAGGGGTGTCGCAAAGTTGCAAGATTGCCCTAGACAATGTCTCGGAAGTACTAAAGATCGCAAGAATCGATAGAGACAGTTGGCAGCCGACATGGTCAATTGGCCTCCCTCGTGAAACTTCGACCATCCAGCCAATTGCATCCGTCTCTTTTGGAGGCTTTAGACCGGCTTTAACTGCCTCCTCTGCTCGCTTCCTCCGCAATTGAACTTCTGGGTCGATCAATCGTCTTGCTTCGCGGACACCTCTGCGCAGCCGGGCACAGCTTGGTATAAACCAATGCAAGATAGGTCTTAGAGGGCCAGGACACATACGGAGGTGAATTTGTGCTACGAAAGAGTCCATGGCATAAGTTTTTGCAACTTTCAACCATGCCTCGTTCCGGCAAATCTCACTTCCCAGAAAGACCCGAGACGTCAAGCGCGCGACCATGTCGGCAATATCATCCTTGAGGGGGCGAGTATTCCATTGCTCGTCTTCGCCGAAGACGTCCTGAAGAGTGTCGATAGTCTCGTCAATGAGGAAGTTGGTTATCGTACCGAGACTTTGCGTCAGCTTCGTACGGACAACTTCATGGATGATACTGCCGTCTCTTAGGCCCTGGCGGTGTCCGTCGAACCCAGGATACTCTATGAAGAAGTCTTTGGCAAAATTCTCATTCAGACTCAGATTAGGCTCGTTTCGTAGCTCGTCGGCGAACCGGTTTGGAACCACAATCTTGTAACCCGAACTTGCTCGAACCTGGAAGCAGCTAGGACACTCCTTGAGACCCTTGCTCAGTATTACTTTTCCATGTTTAAACCAGGAGAATTGGTCGGGGAGTAATGCTTCGGCGCCCTGACGGTCGAGCGTCACTATTGGTATGCCTGCATGTGGTCGTTCGCGGGTGAAGACAGCGTAGAGAATACAGAGAATAAAGCCGCCCAGGACAATTCTAACAGATATTGGAAGATGATTGAGTTGACTCTGAATCTGTTGAAGACGGTCCATATTGGCTGAAACGCCCCGGGGCCAGTGGTTGTCCCGCAAATGTCGATCGAGTAAGAATAGAAAGCAGAAATGATTTGATGCTACTTCCCCTGCGGCATATCTATGATACAATCAAAACAGCAATAAATGGAAATCGACTTAGTTTGCAGCTTCTCACACTGCTGCGCTGCACCTTGCTCAAAAATACGTTCCGGACTATATAGCGGAGCTTTACAAGTGAGAGAATAACCTAGGGTCGCTAGTACTGACTGATAACCCCATCAAAATGTCCTAGGACTTGTAGGCAAGTCTGGAATCAAGTACTGATATGTCCGACGGGCTTGGCTAGTAAATCTATGTGGCCTCTCGAAATAGTCCCCGCAAAACGTCCCGCCTTCGAGAAATGAACTGAAATGCCAAGACAACGACACACCAAAGATTTGCCTTTGAGTTCACTCAACAATATGTCTTTCTGCTTCTATCATCTCATGTGTTCTCTTACTTTGTCCTTTTTCTCTCACATATAATTTGACTTGACATCATTTCAACATGGTTTTACAAGTCCAACCTGATCTCGAGCGGTATATAGATATTCTCCTCGATGAGGCAGGATTGTGTGCGGATGGAATCGAAAATGATACAGAATTCGCCGACTTGGGTATCGATCACGTATTGGCTCGTGCCATTATCGAAAAGATCGGCCAAACGACCCACTTGTGTCTACCAGACGACTTCTTCGAGCATGCACCAGATGTGCAGAGTTTCATTCATCAACTGGAAAAACTCACAAAGGGTGGTCGAAATGGTCAGGCACCAAAATTCAAGCCTGTTTCAAATGGAGAGAGATCAAAAATGGAGGAGTCTGGCAGGGCTTCCGTGAAAACGGAAAAACAACCGAGCAAGATACCATTGATTATGCGGCTCCAGACAAGTTCCACGGGAACTTCAAGAAACCTCTTTCTTATGCCAGATGGCTCGGGTTCTGCAATGTCATATGCACGAATTCCCAAGCTTGGGAATGACTGGACTCTTTATGGTCTCAATAGCCCTCATCTTGGCATTGGACCCAGCGAGATTTCCATAAATGGTCTGGCTTCTCTTTGGATTGATGAAATCATGCAGACGCAACATCAAGGCCCTTATATACTCGGTGGGTGGTCTGCTGGTGGATACTACATTACCGAGGTAGCGCGCTTGCTGCTTGAGCGCGGAGAACGTGTAGAGAGCCTCATCATTGTAGACTCTCCTTGCCGACTTGAATACGGCGCGCCACCGGTTGCGTTGTTCCAGTTTCTTGCGGACAGCGGCCTTATGGGGAACTTTCCCAAAGGAGCAGCAAAATGGTTGATGGACCATTTTGCTGGGACAATGGCGGCAGTTAGCAAGTATCAACCAGCACCAGTTCTGGGTGTGCGAAGAGTCTATATTATCGAAGCACGGGATGGTGTCCTTCGCAGTGAAAAAGAGGCTGTCGGCAGCGGACTTGATCTGTCAGTCGCAGTAACAAAGATGTTGCTATTGCGGGGAGATACTGATTCAGTTCGTGGGTGGAACAAGCAGTTTCCTAATTCCAAGGTCCTGTGGTCGCAAACTAGCGGTAATCATTTCAGCTTAGTTCATCCACCGCATGTGGATACGCTGGGAAGGTTGCTACGAGAAGTGATCAATGGTGATGCTGATCATCTGGAACACTGGTCTCCTTGCACCGAAGAAAGTATGTAGAACAGGTTGTAATATTGTTTGCGTTAGCTTATATCAAAATATTTCCACCAGGCACCCGATAACTCGTAGGGTGATCCGGGAAGATAGTTCTAGTAGGCTTCAGTCGATACATAATATTTCATTCGCTGTCTTTACCTCAGCTTGTGAACTGCGGTTTTAGCTGCAGGTCATTGTTTCGATTTATGTTGCATATCTATCATACGATATCACCCTCAAACCCAGTTGAATCTTTATTAAATGAATGAAACCATGATTAAACAAGCTTCTAGTACGTAGGCTTTACATAGTTCTTAGGACAATGCACTTCCGCTCTGCGCGTAACTTTACCACCTACTGCTACGCAGTACTGCTATGACTATAGCTATAGTTACTATAGCTGCATTTTCAGCTGTTCATTAGAGGCTTCCAACCTGATGTTCAAGCTGCATCTATCTTGTATTAGTTCACCAACTAAGAGTGGTTCATAATATTTGAGCAAAGCATCTATTTAGCTCTGAGAATCTGGTCATGAATATGCTATATCGGATGAATACTCCTACATGAAGCTATTTTTTCAGAGCAGTCTTTATAAGATATCTACTCATCGCATCCACCTAACTTGCTTTTTCTCAAAATGATACTATATCAACAGCTGAGGTGTTATTCTTCTAATATCTTTACTTACGGTACTCAAACTCGACCGTTGACTGTACAGCAGCAGGGGCCTTTCCAGTTCCAATGTAGTGGAAATTAGGATCAGCAGCCTTGAGGAGCTTCTCATACTGAGAGCAAGTCCTCTCCTTGGCATAGTGAGCTGCCAACATGGAAATATCCTCTAACCAGACCGCTTTCTCATCCCAAGTGTTGGCAAGCTGCGCTGGAGGCTCTGGCATGACAGCCTCGTAGAGAATAATGCGTGCACCATTCTTTAAAGCAGGTGCCAGGTTCTTCATGATGGTGATCACATTCTCATCCGTCCAGTCATGGAGAATATGACGGAGAATGTAGTAATCGCCTTGAACAGTATTGGGAGTGAAGAAGTCGTATTCTTCGAAAGTGATACGGTCCGAGAGTTCTGAGAATTCATTGGCAAGAGTCTGTTTTCCCTGCTCCAATGCCACCTTGTTGAAATCCTGCACAATGAAACGGGCCTTTGGAATAGAAGGTGCCATTTCCATGGCTGTTTGGCCTGCTGAGCCACCGACCTGTTGAACAAATTTCATGTCAGATACATGCATGTATGGAGAGTCAAATCGGAACATAGTAATTACTCACATCGACGATTATGGCGTCACCAACATCTGACCAGTCCCGCGCCTCCAAAATGTGAGACATCTTCCAGCGCGGTAGATTTGCTCGCGCGACCATGGCGCGATGATAGATTTCCGCGGCCTGCTTGTTCTGGCCTGCAAAATCGAACACATTTTTGTAGCCAGGGTAAGCAAGGTTGAAAGGTGCTTCGGGGTTGTATCCCGGCTCGTTGCCCTCCAGGAGTGTCTTGTTGGTGCCCTGACGTGCCTGCTGTTGCAACCAGAGCGCATCCGCGATTCGGCCTACAAAGCGAGCATGCATTCCACAACTTCCAACGGCAAGATGTCGAAGGTGTGTTGAGCGTGTAAGTCTTGACGAGGCGGCTGAATGTGCGAACACGCCTGGAGAGGGTTCAACGAAGAGACCGTTACCAACCGCATAGCGAAGCATACGCTCGGTAATGTCAAGAGGTAGGTCCACTTTTTTTGCTACCTCATCTGATGTGATCGTACCGTCTAGAGGGACTGTCTCGGGTATGTCGAAGCGTAGTAATACATCCAAGTTGGCTGTGTCTGAAGGTGCCCATTTCAAAGATATAATTTGATCTTCCGGTCCCTGTGCAAGAAGCCAGAGAGACTTAGCAGCAGCAGCAAGATCATATCGGGCCTTCCGGAGAGTAAGGCTTTCACCTGCGTAGTCGTTGTGGCCAGATTCTGCAAATGTTGGAGGTGGTATGGACTCTGCACCTAGCTGACGTGAGACCAGACCGACCTTTTCCAGAATCGTTGCCGCAAGGCTTTCAAGGGTTTGCGATGTTTGATTGCTCATTGTGTTCGGAATCGGAATATGGAAAAGCTTCTTAACGTGTTGCTGGTCAACCTGAAGCTGACTAACCTACTGAGCACAGAAAATCAAAGACCACTTGGACTTTTGCTGCCAGCTGTGAATTACTTATCTGGAGAAACATGCAATATCATTACTATAGAACCAAAGTATGAGATATTGCAACTCTAGCCTGGATCTGCAGGCAAAAGCATTTCACTTCTGGCGGACCTTTTCACGGCCCTTTTTTATCAGAGATCACGTGAACGATTCCTGCCAATCAAACACGCTTCTCATGGTACTGAAGCGTGGAAATTATCCTACGGGATATCGCTCTCGACGCGATAGTGATTATTCTATGGCGATATTGCATTTTGCAAAGATTTTGTGCAGGCAACCTTTCCCGGAACTATCTAGTAGTTCATCTGCGATTCCGCAAATTCGGAATATTGAGCGACAGCCAAGTCCAGATAACATCTGGAACGGCATGTATCAGCGGGAATTTTCTTATTCAGTCAAGCTGGAGGCTTTTTCAGGAAAACAGACATGGTCTACAGCCAAGTTTTTCTTCTCTTCTTAAAGTAGCTTCTGCGGCGACTTTAGCGAAACGACTGCGGCGAGTACTATAGCGTTAGACTCGTATTTACCGAATCATGAAGCTGCATATCTTTAGAAATGACGATCGTCATTCGACGCGATATCAGGCTACCCAAGGCAAGAATTAAAAGTCCCCGTATTCGTCAACATTGTTCTTGATGGGCGAAATGGCACACCTGACGTCTGTGGGTCATGTAGGAAAGTTATTCAGAGACAAAACAGGATCAATCCAAATGCATGATGTCTAAATGATCACTGAATTACTCTTTTTGTTGAACTTACGCGGTCCTTCTTGTCAAAATTACTAACTCAGCTTTGACGGCTGCCAATATGAGCACATCCAGCATGAGCACATCCAGCAAGTGCAGGAATCTCAGAATCATCATTGTAGGCGCTGGAATTGCCGGAGTCACTGCCGCTGCCTCCCTTCGCCAAGCAGGATTCTCTGTTCAGTTACTCGAGAAGTCCGCATTTGCAAAAGAGGTCGGTGCAGCAATTAACATCACCCCAAATGGAGCACGCGCCTTACAGGCCCTGGGCTTCGACTTCCAGCGTGCACTCGCTTATAGAGTTACTGGGTATGAGTTTTTGCATGGCGAAACCTTCGAAAAGCTGAACATCGTCCATGACACCCCTAGGGTTGAACCAGGGACATGGGCAGTTCACCGCGCTGATTTGCATGCCGAATTAATGCGATTGGCCTGTGAAAGTCATGATCAAACGCTGGAGGACGAATGGGGCCCACCAGTGGAGCTGCGCCTTGCATCGAGAGTTCGCAGTGTTGCTTCTGGACACGATTGTAGCACAGTCACACTGGAAGATGGAGCGACACTAATTGCAGACCTCATAATTGGTGCAGACGGTGGCACCTCTGCCGTGCGGGATTACGTTTTGAAAAACTGCGCCAAAGATCTGAAGCAGACCCACTCGGGTATGGCGGCTTTTCGATATCTGATTGAAATGGAAAAGTTGAAAGCAGACAAGGATCTGGCAGGATGGTTGGGGAGAACAGAGGGTGCAGTCACCTTGTTTGCTGACATGGCCGAGACTACCACCGAGAAACACATCATATCATATAGGTGTCACGGGTACGTATGAGTTTTAAAATTTTCGATTTCAGCACAACTTAATTAGGAAACACAGAAACGAACTTCAAAACTTTGTTGGAATCCATGCATCCACAACCGACTTCATTGAAGAGCATGACGGTAAAACATACGTGACCATCTCTATTACAGAACGCTGATTGAGCCCTGCCAGGTTTGAAAGACGTCATGATGCAAGAGTATAGCCACTTTCACCCTAAAATAATGAACATGATCAGCATGGCTTCGCATCTTAAGCGCTGGCCTTTGTACATCCACGAACCTATATCGACATGGGTTCGTGAGGGAATAGTTCTTATTGGCGATGCTGTACACCCGGTAGGTACTTCCCTCACCTATCATGTACTAAAAGCCATACTTGCGAACAAGAACTAATGAGACGCCGCCTCTAGATGTTGCCTTTCTCGGCACAAGGCGCAAATCAAGCCATCGAAGATGGCATCGCGCTTGGCCTTGTACTTGGTGACAATGACGAGAATGATGTTAGAGTCTCACTACTCAAGTTTCAGGAGCTTCGAAAGAACAGAGTGGCCCGAGTTCAGATCTTGTCAAGTGTTCGAGTCGGCCGAGAACTGGAGGTCCAAGAGAAACTATCCAACTACCTAGACCCCGGCATGGAAAGTAGGTTTTACAATGATAGGTGACGCTATATAATACGAGAACTAATATTTACAATTCAGGGCCACCAATGACGAATAAGGAGCGATGCATGCATGACTGGAAGTATGTCAACAATCCCCTACCTTTTCCGTCATGTCGCTGACTTCAACAACCAAAGTTATGATATCGTCAGGGAGACTAAAAAGCTTTCGAGTTTTTAATTCATCTATGCTACATGTCGAATGAATAAAGGGTCAGTTCGAATTCAATGTCACCAACAAAAGCAAGCTTAGAGTATTCCATCTACATTCTGAACTACGGTCGTATCATCAGCTTCGTGCATTACATACGTATCCACCGTCTTCTGAGTACTTGCTACATATCCTCTAAACACCAATTTGATATAATATGAAGTAGCTAGATGGTGATTCATTATCGGAGATAGAACCTAGTAACAGTATCTCGAGTCATCTTGGGATTAGGATTTTATATCTCTACCGGAAAATCAATTGGGTGTCACCTCTAAAAGAAAATACATTGAAAAAATTTGAACGGGCTTCTATCTCCTGCCAGGACCATGAATGGAGAGAACAAATAGAGTACGCAATCCATTGCTCGACCCATGGCGATCGAAGATAGACGTATAAAACGACTCAAAGACTTTCGGTGCTATGGCAATTAGTAAACTGAACAATGTCTTTTCAGTTAATATTGACTCTTACATATCACATGATGGCGGACGAATTCACTAATCAAGCAAGCGCTTGGATGAATTCAATCAAAGATCTTTTTATCAAGAGCGATTCTTGATAAGCGGTTGCTCCTTGGCAAGTAGCCAAATCAGCCCTAGGAAGCGGTTCTAGCGCAGAAACTGTTGAGTTTTATGAGGCAAACGAACTATGTAGACCTTTAGGTCATGCTTAGGTTAATGGCCGGATAGGGCGCAACGCATGAAATTCTTGGTACTCACAGCGAGAGTGAGCTTGAAGGAGGACAGAAATTATGCGCAAAGTTTGATAAGCACTGACAAGATATTTCATCTGCGGGGTCATGTCAAGTTAGACAGGCAGCAGACTATGCTGCCGAATCCCATGACTACAGTCCTCTGGTTCAGGCATGTACTTTTCTTTGTGTTAACTGAGTCAATTGGGCGACATCAAAGCCGAACGTTACGGGCATCAATATTCGATACTTTCAACGCATTCTCTTAGTGAGCTGCTCGGTTGCAGTTCAGTCCGAGTTATTATACTACATACTCTAACAGCCAGCCCACAGAGCACATGGCAGTCATGTGACCTTTGGTCACATGACATAATATACAAGTCGCCCATTGCTTTTTTCAAGAAAAAGTAATCATTGATAACCCTACATAACAGAACCGCCAGCTCTCCATGAGCAACATGCTGCTACAGAGTAAACAGCAATGAGTTCTTTCTGAGTTGCTGAAAGCAGCAGCTCAGCCACCAATATGGCGCCTGCGCCGCAACCCACCAAGGATGCAACTTGTAAATCTCCACCAAATGCAAGGTATAAAAGAATCGAAATATTGAGATGCCAGATACTCGTATGCGTATCCTGTCATCGTTGCCTGTTCGCCATCAAGGCTCGCTCCCCCAAGATGACGATGCTAAAAAACCGACTAACCGCCTCTGTTCAACCTCGGCACGATCACCCCGTCACAAGCTTCCCCAGCCGAACGACTCCCCCATGCAAGCCATAGGAGCCGACAGCTTCGCATACATCTACCACTTACCCCATTCTCCGCCGGCTCTGGTAACTCGAATATTCAGAACTCAGTACACAGGCGATTTACAAAGCAGAAAAGAAAGAGCAAGGGACTACGAGGTGCACAGGCAGAACGCGACGACAACATGGCAGAAGCTTACCAGAGGGAATTCTTCAACGTGTCGTTCCCGGTCGAATATGTAGCGCACGTTGAGATCAATCGACCGGAGAAGTTGAATGCATTCAAGGAGGCGTGAGTACATGACTCCCCTTTCTCGCACCTCATCCCCATTCCCCGGGCCATGACTGCGATTCATTGGACCTATCATCACGTGCATATATGCTGCAACCTTCGCAAAAGAGACAGTGTCCCCAAAGTGTCGAAGAGTTGTCTCTTGGGCGCGTATAAGAGTACATCTCGTCACTTTCAACTCTACTGCTAAATTACAAAAACATGTCGCGTCTCCGAAATGTACCCAAAGATACCTTACTAACACAAGCAACCCACCAGTATGTGGCTCAACCTCTCCTCCATCTTCCGCCAACTCTCGCACGACCCGAACGTCCGCGCTGTCATTCTCACTGGCGCCGGCGACCGCGCCTTCACAGCCGGTCTGGACGTCCAAGCCGCATCTACGGGCGGCGCCCTCGCCCAAACCGAAGATGCCACTGCTGAACCCCTCGACTCAGCCCGCAAAGCCAATGCGCTTCGTCGCCACATTCTGGAGTTCCAAAGCTGCATTACCGATATTGAAAAGTGTGAAAAACGTACGTCAGAGATAAGGAAAAAAAAGAAGGAGAAAACCTACTTACGGTTTCTTTCTCGCATGGCTTTCCCTACGAACTACACGGGCTGACTATCTGATCATGTAGCCGTCATCGCCGTCCTGCACGGGATATCCTTTGGACTCGCGCTCGACATGAGCCTCGCATGCGACATCCGCGTATCAACTAGCACGACAAAGTTTTCAGTGAAAGAAGTCGACATCGGCATCGCTGCAGACATTGGCACGTTATCGCGCCTACCCCACGCTGTCGGCAACCTCTCCTGGGTCAAGGACATATGTCTTTCGGCTCGCATCTTCGGGTCCGACGAGGCCCTGCAGCATGGTCTTGTGTCTTCCGTGTACAAGGACAAGGCGGAAGCCGTGGTCCAGGCGATCAAGTTGGCGGCCACGATTGCCACCAAGAGTCCCGTAGCGACACTGGGGACCAAGGAGATTATCAATTATTCGAGGGATAAAACAGTAGCTGAGGGTCTGAATTATACTGCTGTTTGGAATGCAGCCATGTTGCAGACGGTGGATGTCAAGGATGCGTTGTTGAGTGGCATGCAGAAGAGGACACCCAGGTTTAGTAAGTTGTAGTGTATGAGACGACCAAAAAAAGGAAAGAAGGTGGCGTGAGAGGAGGAATCGAAATACAATTTGGTATACAGTTGTGGCGCGCCTGATGAGCACTAGACATAACATCACATGCACAGCAGCATAGAATAGCATGTATACTCGACTGTCAAATAGAATTTCATAGTATCATGACTTTGCACACAGCACCCATCCGAGCATCGCCCTAGCAAGAGCTGCCATAGAGTACCACTCTCAAAAGAGCAACCATCAAACTATCGCCCGGCGCCAGAGCTACCAGACACGGCGGCCATCACACGGTGATGTTCCATTGTTGGACTTGAGAATTTTCATTGACTCTAAGCGCCTGGACGTATTAATGCCGGAAGAGTCCCAAACCCATCCCGCATGAGCATCAATCATAACCCATGGCATGCTACAGAAGATGTGGAATCGTGATTTTCCCGTTACGCCCCATTGCACTACCCAACATGCACTACCTTATGCCCTTGACATGACGCCCCAGCAGCGGATACGGTTGTCAGTGTATCCGGCAAAGAGGGTCTGACCGTCGGCGCTCCAGGCGAGGGAGACACACTCGGGCTCCCGGCTCTTCTTGCCAACCTCCATGTACTCGGGCTTCAGCTCGTCAACCTTGCTCTTCTTCTCGAGGTCGAAGATGATGATGCTCGAGGCAGTCGCAGCGCACAGCCAGTAGCGGTTGGGCGAGAAGACGAGGGCGTGGATCTCGTCACCGGCGGACAGAGAGTAGAGGTGCTTGGACTCGTTCAGGTCCCAGAGCATAGTGGTTCCGTCCTTACCACCGGAGGCGCACAGGGAGCCATCGGGCGAGATGGTGACGGTGTTGATGTAGCCGGTGTGACCGATGTGGTCGGTCTGGATGCGGCAGGAAGCGAGTTCCCAGACCTGTTTGACGTTAGCTTGCGGCTTTGCAAACAGTTTGTGGTGAATCGTGGAGAAACATGTCAAATCAGTACTAGGTGATAATTGTCTCATAGCCGAGGCTCTGAAGTAGCAAATACATAGGAAATCATCATAAAATGCGGACAAGTGGTGGGCGGAAGAGGTGATGTCACGTACCTTGACGAGCTTGTCCCAACCAGCAGAAACGATGACGGGGTTCTGGGGGTTGGGCGAGAAGCGAACGCACGAGACCCACTCGGTGTGGCCCTTGTCGGTGATGGTGTACTTGCAGTCACCGAGGGTGTTCCAGAGCTTGATGGTTCGGTCGCGCGATCCGGAAACGATCTGGCGGTTGTCGGCGGAGAAGGAGACAGAGAGGACGTCGTTGGTGTGGCCGACGAAGCGGCGGGTGGTGACACCAGTGGAGAGCTCCCAGAGGCGGAGGGTCTTGTCCCACGACGACGAAAGGGCGTAGGCGCCGTCAGAGGAGATGACCTGTGCAGCAATTGTCAGCTCAGCCATTTTCGCTTCCTAGCTAGCCAATTGTCTCGTTGGTGGGGGGACATACGCAGTCGGACACAATGTGCGAGTGGCCGTGCAGACTCCTCTTGGGGTAACCGTACGAGGTCTCGTCGCGGGTCAGGTTCCAGATGATCAGAGTCTTGTCGCGCGAACCGGACAGGAGCATGTTGGGGCTGGCTGCACGTCAGTAACTGCGCGTCTTGCACCGGGTGCGACTTTTGTCGGGAGGGGATACGCACTTCTCCAGAGAGGTAGCAAGGGAGGTGACCCAGCCAGAGTGGCCCTCGAGGGTACCACGGAGTACGAGTTGCTCGGCCATGATTGTGATGAGTGGCTTCTGCTGAGGATGGACGTGGGCGCACTCGGGTGTTGTGGGCAGTCCTGAAGTTGTTCGACGAGGAGCGCACAACGGGATGTCGAAATTGCGAAATAGACGAAGGCGCTAGTTCTGGATATGGACTAGCGCCGGTGCTCCAGCCTTGCGCACTCCGATCAACTGTGAGTGGTAAGCGAGATGCTCGAATGCTTGGCACCTTGAGCACTACAGGTCTGTCGTCAGCAGATGCCAGCTCGTTTCGAGGAGAATCCGAATATCTCCTAGATACAGACAAGGTTTGTCTGCACGGCATACATTGGAAGAGTTGCTTCATGTCAGTCTTCGATACACTCTGGTTGGCTGGGACTCAATCGGCCACCCAGAACTCCTAGCAGTCGTGAAGCTATTCAGGCCAATTCCAAGACAACCCGCCATGTGAAGAAGATTCTTGATCATGTTTTCGCCTTCTTCTGATGCACTGCAATCAACCACAGCCGTATGCAACAAGCACACAAAGTCGGATCCAACGGTCTTGTCTACGTGCTCCCTCAACAGCACAGAAACACACCCATATGAGTACAGGTGACGGAAAGAGGCTGATGCCATTGCTCGGGGCGCACAGTGATGTTCGTCATCTTTTTCGAGAGACGGCCGGGTAGAACAATGTTGGGTAGATGATTGTTTCCACAGACATATTCATGTCTTTCGTGTTTGCGCAGTTTTGGGTCATTGTAGATAGAACAGAAGAAGCGGGAGGTCAGGTCGAGGTAAGATGGTTGATGGTGGGAGCACGGGTTACGGCAACGGATTTGGTGATGCTGGAAGGGTGTTGGTGAGGAATATCAACGGCGACGTCGAGGCAAAGCACTGTGTGGTATGTTGCAGGATATATGGTGAGGTATGGGAAGTTGGCTGAGATCATCGAAAGAGTTAGCGGGAGAAAGATCTAGAGAGAAGAATGGTCGATTCAGCATTTGGAGGGCGAACTCAAAGCAAAGTATAGACTGACCTTCGCAAGAAATGGAGTGTAGAGGAAAAAGAGAAAACCATCATTCGCAAGCTGGTCATGCGTATGATGGGCGTGGGAACTTACGCAAGCAAGATGATAGGACATGGAGATTGGCCATTCATGGATTGTCAACCGATTTTGATCCCATTGATGGTAGCTTCTTTTATGGTTCATTACTGACAACGCAAAACTACATGGACCGTGAGCAAGAGGCAGCGCAGCGCACTATGGATGAGACACATACACACGCCAGCTTTATGGCTGTCTGAACCACATCAAGCCTGACATGCTAGGCTATTCCCGCTTCAGCCGTGACGGGATCACAGCATTTGCGCCCGTAGCGGCTACATGCGGCTCTCTTCCTCTCCAGCCCCACCTAAACACATGGGGTATATCTTCATCTTCTTCTTCCTTCTTCACGCGTGCGCCATCCAATGTGGACCCATGCTGACCGTGATCAAAGCTGGTTGGAACTCCTTTATACGCATCAGGGCGCTCCTAGCGGCCCGGCGGTCCAGGAGGGAATCGGCCGGGAGGGCCTCCAGGCGGACCTCCGGGTGGGCCTCCAGGTGGCATGCCGCCTGGTGGCGGAAAGGGCAAACCACCCGGTGGTGAGCCAGCGCTGCCCGGTGGCGGGAAGGGGAATGGCGGCATCCCCTGAGGCGGGGGGCCGCCGGGCATGTGCGGTGGTGGGAAGGGCGGCATGTTCGGGGGCGCGCCACCAGGGCCTGGGGGCATTCCGCCTGGCGGAGGAAAGGGCGGCATTCCGTTTGGTGGCATGGGCGCTATCAAAGGGTTAGTATAGGGCTCTGCATGGTTGCTGGAGTTGGACTTACGACCTCCGCGGCCCAGGAACGGCGGGGGCATTCCACCCATAGGCGGCATTCCTAAGTCGTGTCAGCATTCATTCGAACCTCGAGGGCGCATGCAACCTACCTGGTGGTGGGAAGCCCGGCATACCCATCGGGGGCATGCCAGGCATTCCGCCCATGGGGCCTCCGGGGAAGCCTCCGCTCAGGTTTTGCTGAAACAGAGGATTTGCCTGGCCTTCTGTGTTGTAGGCATCCGTGATGCTGTTGATGACTTGCTGTGTCTGGTCGCTCGAGATTTGTTCGTAGTAGGCCTGGACGTTGCGAAGGTGGTTGCGTCCGTTGTTATGCGCCTTGCGCACACTCATACTGTCGTGTGTGAGGTAGACATCGCAGTAGTCGCAGAAGAACTTGGGCATCGTGATCTGGCGGTCGCTCTGAGCTTGATGTGTTGGGTGCCGATATCAATGGGTCGAGTGTCGAGTTGCGCGCGGGTGGTGAGCGCGTCGCAAGAGCTCCAACAATCTTAGGCCGTCGGCAAAAGTGGCGCCGACGGTCTTGGCGTCGCCTTGCCAGCCAACCAGTCCTTACAGTTCAGTCATTCGTTGTGAAGTCTAACTCTATGTTCTTCAAGCTATTGCTGTATCATTGATAAAGACCTATCACTAATAGAGATCTGGTATCATGATTTGAACAGGCAGTAGTGGCTCACAATCTGTGTGTAGAGAATTAGCTACATCCGAGGACTGATAACTCTGGCGCACCATAAGTAGCTCAGTTCTCAAGTCACTGCACTCCTATGTATACGTTCAGGATGTGACCATTCCTCAAGGAGATACCCCAATTACACAAATGATAAATTTGCTCTAACCCGTATCTAGACCAGCTGTCAGATTTCAAATTGAGCATCGCGGTATCATCGAATTAGCCCAGTTTTGAAACAAGACCAAGGTTACATGGATATCAACCTCTGGCCTTGAAGCAACACCAAGGCTGGATAAAGTGTAAGTCTGAATCCACCGTTAATCAAGGACTCAATGCTTGCATGAATCAGCTAAGGCTCTTCGCGTTTGCGGGTTTTTAATTCGGTGCACTATACGCTATTCGATCAACTCCCACCATGTCTTGAGTAGCTACAATTACTTCATGAAGCCAACGCGCCTACAGGTAAACGCATGAATATATGTTTACAAAATCACAATCATCATGAATGAATCGTGCAGGCAATGTGAGCTTGGCAATGAATTTTCCGAACCATCTCAACACCACGCATATCCTTATTCACATTGTATCAGTGACTCGACGCGCCGACCCAATGAACATCACATCATAGTACGTTACATACCACACCATACATCACCTCGACTCCCGTTCAATCCATGCCACAACCTTTTTTCACAGCAAAACAAAAGACTTAGCTACATACATAGTTTCCGCAAAAACACCATATCAACAATCCCAAACCTGCAACGTATGAACGCGCAGATAAGCAACTAAAATTTACACTCCCCCGCAGCGCCAACAGACGAAAAGAAAAAAAACCCCCCCGACTAATCCTCAAAGTCTACCTGCTACACTTGGCGCCCATTCGCATCCAAGCGTCGAAACATTTACCTTTTCTTTTCCAGTCCGACGAAACGAACCCCAAGTGCAAATATCAAACGCGCACGAGACGGAGAAAAGCAGCAACGCGGTGCAAGGGTGTAAGAGTGTGAAATATAGTTGTAGCGACGAAAGTGTACCACTGGGGAGGCAAGAGGTGAGGATAAAAGGGTAGCATGTATCCGCAGCTTTGGTAGAATAGTAGCCCATGTATATCAAACCCACATGCACATGCATATACTACAGAGTAAAACATGAATAATTGAGAGTGCATAGAAACATTCCGACATGACCATAATATTCGGTACCGAACAATGCAATTCCATTTCGAACGACGAATCACTTAGCCCCCAGAAAATGGAGAGAAAAAAAACCGCGCAATTTAAACTTTCCTCTAGTCTTCATATTCTCTTTGTCTGCGCCTTTGGTAACACCCAGTCCCAGCCACAGCCACAGCCACAGCCCCAGCTACATTAGCGGATCTGCATTTCCCCTGCGCAAGCGCCCCCAATATCTAGCTGTGTGGCGCCATTCGAGTGTCAAACTTTATTTCTGTTTGCTTCTTTTTTTTTGTCGCGCGCCGACTTCCGACTGTACTTGGTTACGAAAGAGCTCGTGTTTTTTTTTCGTGCCCGCTATGTATCACTGACATGTTTAGAATGTTATCATGACAAGACATCTTTTTTTTCCACAAGTACATGCGCTCATAGCACTGGAAAAAAAAGAGGAAGACAGCATCTAAGTGTTAATATTATAAAACTCACTGTTGATATGTTGTAATGCTGTTTAGCCGGTACAATTGTGCGGCTAGTTGGCATTCGATTCGACATTAGCTTTTTCGTCGTCCTTGTCTTCTTCTCTTTTCAGAAAGGGTTTTTGATAAATATCATGACTTCATCTCTGTAGACTATACACACATACACACACACACACACACACACATAACCCACAACCCCATCAAAACCCCTCATCCTACTATATATCCAACATGAAACGTGAAACAGCAAACGCGAAACATCCAGACTCACCCTTCCCATCTCTGTCATTATGCCAAGCCCACATCTCCCCCCCCCTTCCCTCGCCGTTCCGGGGCCCCAGCCCGTTGGGCGCATGTTCGATGATCCTGATGCTGCAGTGCAAGCATGGGGTCTGCGAGGAAGGGGGAAGCATGTCTTCCTTCCCTGTCGATTGCATCTATCTACTTACTACGGTATCATCGGGTTCATTTCCGCTACTAGAGTATAGTACATGATCCCGGGCACAAATAGAGACACCTTGTAGAAACAAGTAAAAAGAAAAACACACAGATACACATATAGAACTCAGCCGATGCAACCTCCTACTTTATCATTCTTATTTTTATTAACCTCTATTTTTCGTGTCTCCCCAGAAATAACAGTTTCACAATTCCAAAGTCTCACGTAAAGATTACGTCGGCCCAACTGCCACAATCACAACAACAATCATCATAACATTTATGCTATTTGTAAGAAACGAAACAAATGAGAGTATTAGTGAGGGGAGAGGAAGTGAGGGGCTGTACTCTACACACTCGATTGGGTACCATGTACAGTGGGTGGATGTCTCGCATCCGTCATTTCCCCACCATGGTGTTTCATGCCGTGGTAGATTTTTCGTTGTTTATGCCTTAGGGCCGTCGCGGCCGACAGAGAGAAGAGCACAGAGTTCAGGGGGCAGAGTAGAACAGATGAGATTAGAGCAGAATAAGCAAAAAGCGATGGTGGTCAGCACAAGTGAATAACATCGTGTGTCGGTGTGTTGTGTGTCGTGTGATGGGTGACGTACTTTGAGATTTGCCAAGCACTTACCTCCGCCGTTGCTTTTTATGTTACACGCTCGGAAGTTCCGAGCGTGGCACCCACACCAGCCTAGTAATACACGAGCGCGTGAGATTTTGGCGGCCGAAACAGGAAATTTGACAAGACCATGTATGTGGTAATATTTCGTGTTCAGGTCAAACGCGAGAGCCAGTCAGAGTAGAGAGCCAAGAGGAAGCGGGGGGGGATGGGTGGGAAAATTGGCTCGGACGGTGGAAACTGGAATTTCGGTTGCACAGGATTTACCTTGGTCTCTATCGCTATTGCCATGGTTTGGGTGTTACGCAAAAGGTATCCAGTAGAGAGGCCAGTCTGTAGGGCTGAAGAAACGTCTCCATTAAAAACACTTGGCACAATCCCGCTGTGTTGGAAACAGGCCAGTGCTCGTCGCAGGTCCCGCAAAAAGCAAATCCAAGGAAGAAAAACAGAAAAGCGGGTGGGCGAAGGATCTCGGGTGAAACAACGAGGAAGGTCGGCATGGAAAACAAGTCCAATCTATGTGTGAACGGGGGAATTCCACCCCCCCCCACATCCACTCACTCTGCACTCACTCTGCACTCGTGTAACCGACGCCCCCATGTAAGCCTTTCCGCATCCTACGCCCCCTGTCGGGGATTACCAGCGTAGCAGAAGGACGTGTTGCAAACAAGCACACGGTAGACCTTCTTTTTGCGGACAAGACCAAAGGGTTTTGGACGAAGGAAAATCATGATGAGTGAGACGCCGGTGTACATGGACTTGAGTTTGGCGCCAAGGGAGAAAGTTCAGAGTTGTCAAACGTGTGAGTGTGGGTGGTAGAGAGGGGGGGGGAGAGAAGGAGAGAAAAAAAAAGGACTTGAGCGACGCGAAGCGTAGTGCATGGCTGCTTGTGATGCCCGGTGCCGAAGACGTCAGTGACCTCGGACAGGGCAAAGCAGCATTCGTCACTGTTCCCACTGTTCCCACTGGCATATGTGGTCGGATCTGAGTAGTGTGTGTGCTAGTTGCTGTGGCACGAGCATCGTCGGGATCCGAGGTAGGCAGTCAATCAGGCATGGACGGAAGCGTGTCTGTCCACGCGCGTTGTATTCGTATACCAACGGGGGGGGGGGCGTCGTGTTGCGCTCGGCCATGATTTTCCGAGTGTTCGCCATGTGTGTACGCATGTGTGCGACGGACGGGCCTCGAGTGGCTGAGCGGACCTGAGTTCCACACGGGGCGCAGAGTCCATGTGTTCGGTTATCGATTAAATCCTTCTTGCCGTAGGGCGACGAGTCGGTGACGGAAATAGCGCTGGCAGGAAAACGGCCCACATGGCGGGCTAGCCTCAGGCGTTCACCAGCCAGGAGAGGGCGTGGGCGAGGGAGGTGGAGAGGGCAAGTGATTTATTTAGTAGGCTAGTTGTATTGCTTTCTCGTGTCCAGGGCGGGCGGGTTGCTGTGTTGGCAGGGCGGGGTAACGCAAGCTGCAGTGCTGAGTGGTCTTGGAAAAAGCTTGCAGCGGGTTTTTTCTTTCTCCTCGGGTCACACATATCGTTTTCGTCCTGGCGGCGGCGGTGGGGAGGGGTGGGGAGAGCGACAGGCGGACCCTTATCCGATAGGGAAGAAAAAAGGGAAGTTGATAGCAGCTTGCCCCGTGCGGAAATTGCGACGGCGCAAACCGCGTGATAAACTTGCGATGGGCATTGAGGCTGAGTTCTACGCGTCAGGCGATGGGGGGTTTATTCGTCATTGTGCGGGATGGGATGTGGTGCGTGAGTGTGTGGATGGATGGATGAATGAATGGGGATGAATGAATGAATGTGTGGATGGATGGATGGATGGATGGATGGATGGATGGATGGATGGATGGATGGATGGATGGATGGACATGGGGATTGCGTGGTGGTGCGAGGGGCTGCCGCCTAGCCGACTAGCGTTCACCGCGTCTGCCCCTTTCGGCCAGCAGCGGCGTTGCCACAGGAGGGCAGGCGTATTGGTGCACCCAGGCTGCGCAGTGCGGCAGTCGATGTATGCGATGACGACTTGGCGCATCAGCCGTGGCAGCAGGTGGTGGTGGTGGTGGTGGTGATGCAGCACTGTTGCTGGTACTGCGATGTATGTAATCCCACTATGCTATAGTATGGGGGTGGGGGGTGGTGACGGTGGTGTTCTAAATGCGGAATCAGCTAAGAGGCGTTAGTGGCGCGCCCAAGGCCGAATCACAGGCGCGCCATTCATCAGCATGTTCGCGACAGCCGTCCGAGCCGGGAGTCGGCCCACCAGCAGCTCGTAACCGTAACCGTTACTATAGTATCGAGGGAAATACTATCATCGGGTATACATACTACATGGCAGCGCAGCGCAGCGTCAGGCATGGCCAGGCAGGCGGGCAGGCAGACAGACAGACAGACAGACAGACAGACAGACAGACAGACAGACAGACAGACAGGCAATCCGGCACCGCTGAAAACAGCGCGCGCGGCCAGGACCCCTGGGCGGCGATACGGTGCTGGTGCTAGCCTGGTGTGTCGGGCCCCAGGCCGGGGCTGGGCGAGGCGGCGGTCCTTCGTATTTCCGGCAAGCCATGACATGACCCAGCCTACATCCCAAAAAAGCGCCCGGGGAGGGGGTCGAAGCGGGCCTCAATGATCTGCAGGACATGGCACATGGCGCGCAGCCTGCGGGTAGCGCTGGCGCCTCGCAGCTTCATGCACGTCCAGCCAGCGGCTGTATAAGGATGCCTCTCCAGCCCTGCCCCAGTGCCCGCTGCTTCTTGCTGGACACCCACTTCACACCCAATTCACTCTCGCTTTGGGGGGGCCACCGACACCCGTTTTCATTTGTATAATCTGCAGTCTTTCTCCCTCTCTCTCTCTCTGTACTTCCGGTCCAGTTGTATCCAAACACCCCCCCCCCTAACGCCGCATATACCTTAATATACCCTGCGCCTCGCCTACACACGCCAACGCCATCATGCGCTCTGCATTCTTCTCCGCCTCGCTGGCGGTTGTCGCCACCGTCACCGCCCTGCCCCAGGAAATCCCCTCCAGCAAGATCCTCGCCCCGGCCCTGCCCGTGGACAAGTTCAAGCATACCGAGTTCCCCGAGCCCATTCCCCTCGAAGAGGCAAAGGAAATCTTCAACAACTACACAGCCACCCCGCCCGGCGTCGCCACCACCCTCTACTCGTACAAGACAAACCACGAACTCGTCAAGCTCGCCCAAATCGCCGCCCATGTCATGTCCAAAGTCACCGAGACGGTCAACATCAACCCCCCCAAACTCCAGGCCCGCGCCACCTGCTCCAGTGTCCGCACCCGCATGGAATGGGACTCGTTTCCCGACTCGGGCAAGCAGCAGTTCGTCGACGCCATCAAGTGCTTGATGGGCCGCGCTCCTTCGGGCCAGTTCTCAAACGCGCGCAGCCGCTACGAGGACTTTGTTGCCCTGCACCAGCGCCTCACCCCCAACGTCCACCAAAACTCAAAGTTTCTGCTGTGGCACAGGTACTTTCTCTGGACCTTTGAGTCGGTCCTGCGTGACGAGTGCGGCTACCAACTGTCGGTGCCGTGGTTCGACGAGACGCGCTATGCTGGCCGCTTTGCCCAGTCGTCCATCTTCTCCGATAAGTGGCTTGGTGGCCTGGCCCTGGGAGGAGACTGTGTAAGGAATGGCGTAAGTTGACCCCAATTCACCCCCTCGCAACAGCCTGACTAATCCCCCCTTGCAGCAATTCGCCAACCTGAACCTCAATGTTGGCCCTGGCACCGATAACCAGGCCCATTGCCTTGCCCGCAACGGCAACGGCGGCTTGACCGCCTACTGCAATGCCGAATATGTCAACCAGTGCAACGCCTACACCGACTTTGCTGGTATGGCCTTCTGCGCCGAACGTGGCCCTCACGCCTTTGGCCACAACGGAGTCGGAGCCGTCATGCAAGACGTCTACGGCTCGCCTGGCGACATGTTCTTCTACATGCACCACGGCTTTGTCGACCGCAACTTCCGCATCTGGACAAACGCCGACCCTAGCCGTGTACACACCATCAACGGAAACGACATCTCCGGACGCCCACTTACTCTTGACGACACCATCAACGTCTACGGCATTCGCCCTGATGTCCGTATCCGAGACGTCCTCGACACCACTCAGACGCTGTGCTACAAGTACAACTACTAGACCTTTCTTCTTCCTCATCCTGCTCTTCTTCTTGCCTAGCGTGCCCCGTGCACCTAGACTGTTTATATTCCCCTCCCCCCAAAATCCTGTGTAGTTAGAGATACCTTTTGATTATCCACTGCAACTTCATGCACGACGTCCGGTTTCAATGTGAACTCCATTGCTGATGCTAATCAAAACCCCTGTGCCCTGCCTGAGACCCACCTGACGTGCGACGGATCTCGCCCTGACTCGCTCATCTTGGCCTTGCTGCCCCTGCTAGGCTGGAAATTGCACCAAGAACCAGTTCCAACTGTCCAAGGTACTCCAGCACGTCAGGCCATGCACGCAACTCCAAAGGCATCCCCGATGCTGCACATTTCTCTTCACGAGTAGCCACCTCAAAGCTTGGGGGTTCCTCCTTCACGTCATTCGAAAAGATGATGTTGCCAAGTCGAAGGTCCTTCAGTGTCGAGCCGTGTCTTTGGCAAACGCCTACCAACGAGTCGGGCGTAGCAAGGAAACAGCACAGTGACAACTTGCGTAGTTGTGGCCAGGCAGAATCTGAACCAAAGACGTCTTCCACACAGCACATGGGCTCACACGATGGCCATGTGTCATGGCAGCCGTCCAGGTCAATCTTGAGGCTTTCGAGCTGCTGCAGTTCCCTCAAGAACACTCTTAACCCGCCCATACCCAGGACTTTGGTCGCGTGGCCGCCCCTCGACCCTCGATTAAAGGACAGCCCGTTGAGCCGATCAGATCGCGCCGTCAGCTTGAGATCGAGACTTGTTAGCTGGTCAAGCCCGTAAGCCATGGCCTTGATGAAGCTTGTATAATGGATCCTGTCCAGCTTAATTTTGCTCAAACGAGAAGGTATCATCTGTTGTATCAGTTCAAAAGCTTCGAACCCAGGCCGGCTGTAATGGTCATTCATGCCTTCCCCTCGATGCAAGACGGGTGGCTCCACCGATGCCGAGTGGACCCCATCCTTCATCTTCTTGACACCGCGGTGGGCTAGGCTGAGGGTACCATGGACTATATGAACCGCCCGCCGGTTGTGAAATCGTTCAAGTATTTCCAGCAGGCTCCCGTCACCTCTGGCCTTTCTTTCGTCTGTCACCTTGTCAAGATATGCTCCCCACTCTTTTCGATCTAGCGCAAGATGCTCAAGCCCAGCTGTGCGGGCCTCTGATGGACAAGTGCCAGGGGAACTCGCTTTCCCGTGAAAGTACTCCTGCCACTCGTTCAGATCACGAACATTGGGTATTCGCCACAGGTTTACATCCCAGAACAGAGTCTTGACGCATTTCCGAAGATGATCATGCTTGCTGATCTGACGAAGGCGCTCGAAGCTCGCAGTGCTGTAATCAAACGTGAGAGTGCCAAATAGCTCCGCGGTGCCAATCGCGCAACATGATTTGCTGGCCAGTCGATAGTTTGGCAGGTCATTGCGAGATACAAACTGTCCAATAAGCAGGTGCACTTCGTCGGGGAGGTACGGGATACGAGAGCACATGTCTGTGCTGCCCAATTGGGACTACCGATGAGCACAAGCCCGAAATCCAAGGTAAATAGGCCGTCGGGGCCGAGCTACTTTCCAGCACAACTCGGTCTTGTGCTCAAGTCGTGCTGCGCTTTGAATTCCAATGTTGCTGTCCGCTCTGCTGACAGCGCGTCGGGCTGAGAATAAGTTTGTAAAGAGCTGTCTCATGACGCAACTCGTGTCGTGTCGTGTGAAGGGGGGATGCTGCGCTGCACAAGCGTTTGTGTTGATGTGCAACGGGGCTGTGTAGGTTGGCACACAACGCGATTTTTACACGCTAGCTAAGCGAGCACGTGAGCGGAGCTGCTGACCGCTTGCCCCTCAACGCAACAGGAAAGTAGACAGACACCCAGTCATGGTATTACTCGATGCAAATAGTAACAGCATACGTACATACTCCGTCCTCCATTCTAGTCGCCTTCCATCAACACGTTGTACGCGAGCCACCGCTGTGGCTAATAGCGCATCCGCGGTGGAGCATTCACCGGGGTCTCAGCCACACCACGGCATCAATCTGTAACACAAACTCTACAAGCAAATCTTAAGACTGAGTATGTACGGAGGTGCCTCACAAAAGTTTTGTCCTGCCAAGAATAATTTAGCCGAAATCTGGCCGCTCTCCTACACAACGCCTATCTCTCCCCTCTATATACTCATTACCACCTTGTAGCTCAATTATCTTTGGAATATGTATAAGAATACGCTCAATCCAATCTTGGATCTTAGCTTGTGGGAGATCTCTCCAGCAATTTAGCCAGATTCTAGTTGCCTCCGTTCTTGACTGTGGAGCTCCTTTCTTTGTAGTCTCTCTCTTCATGTAGAACCAGCATGGCTCAATACAGTTACAGTCTGGAGAGTTGCCAGGCCAAAGTAGTCTCTCGACGTTGGATAGACTATAGACAACGTTCTGATACTGGTGGGCGTGCCCAGGTGCCTTATCCTCCATAACTACGGTCTGAGGCCTATCTTGGAGGCACTCTTTGGCGAAAGGAATCAGCTTTGGGATCAGAACGCAGCTCTGATATCTCCACCAGTCTATACCGCCTTTGGACGAACGCACTAGCTTGCCTGTCTGCTCTGTCCATCTCCATTGAGGCTTCCTGCCAGGCTTATTACGTAGTCCTGTCCTTCTCATAGATGTGGACAGCTCCCACTCCTCTCGCTGGAGAGGCTCGAGCTCAGCGTTAAGCTGCTCAATCTTCCGAGCA